CCATGAAATGTTCCAGGAGTTCAGAGAGCTCTTTCAGGCCCGACCCACTCTCCAGTTACCAAACACTTCCCAGAACCTTTAATTTTGCCATGAAATGTTCCAGGAGTTCAGAGAGATCTTTCAGGCCCTACCCATTTTCCAGTCGCCAAACACTTCCCAGTCACTACCTGCTCAAAAGTCACCACCTACTATCTAGTCACTATCTAATAACCAGCCACTTTCTAATCGCTACCCACTCTCCAGTCAAGTTAGTGAGATGTATAAATAATTTTTATGTGCATTAATCTATGTGTCAGTTCTGTTTGATGGTCAGTCTGTTTTTGCTTCTGTCTGTTTATCCGTCAGTCTGTTTGTGCATCAGTTTGTTTGTGTGTCAGTTCATTTGTGTATCAGTCTGTGCAACAGTGTGTTTGTGTGCAGTTCTGCTTGTGCATTAGTCTGTTTTATGTATCAGTCTGTACGTCTATGATAATTTTATGTACTAGAAATCTCATGAACAATAGATAAATTAAGTTCATGTTCACACCATCTTATCACCCCATCAAGGTCTATACCTGCATGATTAAATTTTGGTGGTCATCTGTCAAGAATAAAGGTCAAAGTTCACCCTTGACCACTTGAAATAATAAGCTGGTTGTGTACAAGCTATTTCATGACTCCATCAATAGATTAACAACCCTTCAATATATTTAGATCAGAAGGAAAAGGTGAGGGGATGAGGGTATCTTTGTGAGCCCATAATCGCTTTGTTTTTATCCTATTTAAACTTTCTCCAGAATTAAGTAAATATCAAATGAGGTTATAAACATGTAACTGTTTATTTTATCATTTCCTAGGTTATAAGGAACTCTGTGTACAACAAGTTTTAAGTACCTGTGTGTACAACAAGTTATAAGTACCTGTGTGTACAACAGGTTATAAGTAACTGTATGTACAACAGGTTATAAGATACTGTGTGTATAACAGGTAATAAGTTAATGTGTGTATAACAGGTTATAAGTAACTGTGTGTACAAGAGGTTATAAGTTACTGTGTGTACAACAGGTTATAAGGAACTCTGTGCACAACAAGTTTTAAGTACCTGTGTGTACAACAAGTTATAAGTACCTGTGTGTACAACAAGTTATAAGTAACTGTGTGTACAACAGGTTATAAGTTACTGTGTGTACAACAGGTTATAAGTAACTGTGTACAACAGGTTATAAGTAACTGTATGTACACCAGGTTATAAGTAACTGTGTGTACAACAAGTTAGTATTAGGTACAAGCAGCAATACTTGGCTGTGTAGAACTAGTTATAAGTGACTCTGTGTAGAACTGGTTAGTATTTGGTACGAGTAGCAATTACCTGGCTGTGTAGAACTAGTTATAAGTGACTCTGTGTAGAATTCCCTGACTGTTGAGTAAGGACAATACAGAGCATGTTTGCTTTAAAGATCAAACATAATCAATGGCTACTAACCAGGGGCATCTTGTCGCTGTTGTTTGCCACACAAAGACCTCTACACAAACCTCTCAAGTCATAATAGCATTAAAGAATTCCTTTAATTGATGTTTTATTTAACGTTTTTACATTGAAATTAATCCTTTTGTCAAAAAATCTGGAATTTCAATCAATTTTATTTAGTATTTAACTGTGATATGTACACTTGAAATACATGATTGTAGTACTGAGAAAGTTTTTTTATCTTATTTGTAAATATAAATTCCACTTGAATTAGTGGTGCTTCGGCTCTCATTTGGAGATTTATTATTGATTTTAAGTAGCCAGATCTTTCAACAGAATTTTTATTTTTTTAATTTTTTCTTTACGGTGTGATTTAACATGACAGAAGACTCAATTTGATTGTACTATCAGTATTTAAGGATGTTTTTCTGTGGTTGATCAGTAAATGATATATGAACACAGAGCTTCTGTAAATTTGACAGATTGTAAATTACCAATGGTAGTTCCAACTTAATGATTGTTAAATTTTCTGGACGTTGTCATGCTCCAGATAATTCATTGATGTAGGAAAAATTTCTCGATCATGACTGTCCATCACGTGTTATTTCTGTGATTAATTTAAAAATTAATTGATAGATCTTTGATCAGAAGTAACACCACGAGATGTTATAAACAGTGATAATATATTTTCTATTTTAATTGTAAAGTCACAAAGAGATGAAAGGTCAGTTCTAAGATTTATATCTGGTGCACAGTCAGTAATGGCAGATGTAATTGTTTATCAATACATATTATAGTGACGTATTAGACGCAGGGAGGTTTGGAGGTGTCGTGTTGGATAATAATCAATTCTAGCTTATGTTAAAATGAGTCAGAATTGCCACACAGGGGCCTGGCAGATATCTTTATTCTCTCTTCAAGATATATCATAATATTCATTTTATTGAGGACTATAATTTTCCTGGCCCCTGTGCTATAGGTGTAACGTATTCTTGGGGCTGATGGCTTTGTTTTAGAAGGTTTATTCACAAAAGGCACACCAGTCTTGATTACAAATATGTGTACCCACACACCCTCACACCTTCACACAATCACACCCCCACACACATGCATGCATGAAACTCCTACATTATTTTGGTAATACATAAAACCATTTGAACATATTGTTAGGCTTTGAAGATTCCATTGTCATTGTGCTGGATGTCTATATTTACAATGTACACTCTCCTTGTAAAAAGTACACTGCCTACTTCTAGTAAAACTGGATACCAGTACAAGATACCTGTAAATCTACATGTACAGTATACCTGTAAATCTACCTGTACAGTATACCTGTAAATCTACCTGTACAGTATACCTGTAAATCTACCTGTACAGTATACCTGTAAATCTACCTGTACACTATACCTGTAAATCTACCTGTACAGTACATGTAAATCTACCTACACAGTATACCTGTAAATCTACCTGTACAGTATACCTGTAAATCTACCAGTACAAGATACCTGTAAATCTACCTGTACACTATACCTGTAAATCTACCTGTACATCATCAATCTACCTGTACAGACTTACCTTCCTTTATATACCTGTATTATGATAATTATGCTTGATAAAGAACTGTATAGATTACCTGTTTTATAATAACTGTACACGTTACCTTTGTAATGATAACTGTACATTATACCTGTACCTGGACTATATAGATACCTGACAATATAGATACCTGTACAATATAGACTGTACAATATAGACTGTACAATATAGATACCTGTACAATATAGATACCCTGTACAATATAGATACCTGTACAATATAGATACCTGGACAATATAGATACCTGTACAATATAGATACCTGTACAATATAGATACCTGTATTATGATAACTGTACATGAAACCTGTAGTACATTTTATCTGTGATAAAGGTTAAGCAGTAGTATTCTTCTCTAGGGTATGGTGCAGTTTGAATAATTCTCCACCAAATATATAATGATATTCACAGTACTGGACACCTTGCAGATCTTACAGCAAGTCCATATTGGTTTTGCTGAGATAGAAGATCTCTTTGTATGCTGATTCACATCATTGAATAAGAATAATTAAAAAGTTGTTTGGGACTGTAGATAAAGTAGCATTGTGGAGAAGTGGTGAAGGCCGATTCTGTCTTTGTCTGGCCATTTTACCAGTGAACCATGAGTCAGAGAAAAGTGAACATGGTGCTATACAGGATCAATTATACCTCTCAGTCAAAGCAACAAAGCACATTGTCATCAGACCTGCTACCTATATATATATATATAGTCAATTATATCTTCTAGTCCAACCAACAAAGCACCCAGATCATTATTAAGGTTTTGTATACATTTAAAAAATATGTACAAAGAGCTATTGACCTTTCATTCCTCATCGTCAAAAGTGAGAGTGTTTGTAACGGTAGACATATCAAATCAAAGTCTCACTGAATTGTCGTTTGTTTATAATGTATAGATAGCGGGCTGGTTTGTTTTAATTGTTTTACATGTTTAATTAACATACATTCTGCTATCTAACTGGTCCTATGCTTTTTTAACAGCTTATAACAGAACAAATGTACATTTTTAAAATGTTGTTTCGTTAAAAAATATTTGTTGGTATTTAAGTTTAAATTTATGTTTAAGTTTGCTGTCAAGGGATTCGGGAGTGAGAGTAGTTATTATCACCTTGGCTGGATGACTTACTAGGTGTTTTCTGAATTTTGTATTTATACTTAATACATGCACATCTCATCAGAATCTGTTATCATTGTAAGCAAACTTTACAGACTCTGGTATTTAAATTAAAGTGTTTACATAATGATCTTGTTAATTATACAATTTGTAATCGGTATATGCATGACAACTGTTTATTTGTAACGTGTAATCGAAATTCATCTCTCTCATTGTTTGGAGTAGCCAAGCTGTTTATCATCTGTACTGACTTCCTGGTCTACATCGCTAGAACATCAGCGATTAAGACTCTAAAGTGTTATTATTGTCCTAAATCCTGGATAATACCAGCTAAGGGAGACATTTTACAAATTTTTGAACTATTGTGATACTTGAAGCAATGGTAATTTTTTGGTAGTCAACATCTCCATTCCATATTGCCTTCAGTGAAATTTTATGGGTTGTAAAAGGCTGTCATGCAGTAAAGTTGCCGGCGCTGTAAAGATGGGAAGATCGTGATGTCTTTAATATGTAAATAGGTCTTTATAAAGTTATCCGAGCTTGTTAGAGAGAAGGTTGTATATTTTGTTTTCGGTTGGGTACATGATGGCCGTGTACAGGTGACTATATTAATTTATATGATGTTATCGTAGCCTTTGGATTAACTGCATTTTATCGTATTTATAATTTGTAAGTGAAATTATTTGAAGTTTTTATCAGCCTGATAGAAACTTCTGAAGTGTTATTACATGTGAGATGTGTGCGAGGGTATCTAGGGTACATCACACACCTGCCTCAGTCATCATAATCTTTTTTCTGTTTCCAGGTGTAACTGGATGTGATGGCTTCTACAATACCTGTATTATGTAATGTGTGCCTGGTAGCCAACATTACTGGACTTGAACTGGATCTGTAAGGATATAAATATGTAAGGACCAATGTTTTGTCATGTGATATCAACAAGCAACAGAATTTTTCTTTCTATTTTGTACAAAAACAAAATGTGTGACCTTGACCTTTGTGTCCCTTGTGACCTTGACCTGTGTGACCATTAAACTGTAAACATGAGGGAAGAGGATATGGAAACGGCCATTAAGGTCGTCATTGTGGGGAATGGAGCAGTAGGAAAGTCTAGCATGATCCAACGCTACTGTAAAGGAATCTTCACCAAGGAGTACAAGAAAACAATCGGCGTGGATTTTCTGGAGCGACAGATAGAGTAAGTAACCTTAAAATGTTTGTGTTGTACAATCTTACAACAGGAAAAAGTATAGATTAAGATTATTTTAATCAGCCATGCATGAGGTTTTAATATCATACCAGTACCAGGGTTAGAGATGTACTGTCAATTACACAAGTACCAAGTTAGAGATGTACTGTCAATTACACAAGTACCAAGGTTAGAGATGTACTGTCAATTACACAAGTACCAGGGTTAGAGATGTACTGTTAATTACACAAGTATCAGGGTTTGAGATGTACTGTTAATTATACCAGTACCAGGGTTAGAGATGTACTGTCAATTACACAAGTACCAGGGTTAGAGATGTACTGTTAATCATACCAGTACCAGGGTTAGAGATGTACTGTCAATTACACAAGTACCAGGGTTAGAGATGTACTGTTAATCATACCAGTACCAGGGTTAGAGATGTACTGTTAATTACACAAGTACCAAGGTTAGAGATGTACTGTTAATTACACAAGTACCAGGGTTAGAGATGTACTGTTAATTACACAAGTACCAGGGTTAGAGATGTACTGTTAATTATACCTGTACCAGGGTTAGAGATGTACTGTTAATTATACCTGTACCAGGGTTAGAGATGTACTGTTAATTACACAAGTACCAGGGTTAGAGATGTACTGTTAATTATACCTGTACCAAGGTTAGAGATGTACTGTCAATTACACAAGTACCAAGGTTAGAGATGTACTGTCAATTACACAAGTACCAGGGTTAGAGATGTACTGTTAATTACACAAGTACCAGGGTTAGAGATGTACTGTTAATTACACAAGTACCAAGATGTACTGTTGAGAGGTTAGAGATGTACTGTTAATTACACAAGTACCAGGGTTAGAGATGTACTGTTAATTATACCTGTACCAGGGTTAGAGATGTACTGTTAATTACACAAGTACCAGGGTTAGAGATGTACTGTTAATTATACCTGTACCAGGGTTAGAGATGTACTGTTAATTACACAAGTACCAGGGTTAGAGATGTACTGTTAATTACACAAGTACCAGGGTTTGAGATGTACTGTTAATTACACAAGTACCAGGGTTAGAGATGTACTGTTAATTACACAAGTACCAAGGTTAGAGATGTACTGTCAATTACACAAGTACCAGGGTTAGAGATGTACTGTTAATTACACAAGTATCAGGGTTTGAGATGTACTGTTAATTACACAAGTACCAGGGTTAGAGATGTACTGTTATTTTTACCTGTACCAGGGTTAGAGATGTACTGTTAATTACACAAGTACCAGGGTTAGAGATGTACTGTCAATTACACAAGTACCAGGGTTAGAGATGTACTGTTAATTATACCTGTACCAGGGTTAGAGATGTACTGTTAATTATACCTGTACCAGGGTTAGAGATGTACTGTTAGATATATTTAAAAGTACCAGGGTTAGAGATGTACTATGCACAACCATCAATATATTAACAGAATACTTCACAATGAATACAGGCTAACCTTTGTTTACTGTTGTAAGCTTGGTTTATGTATTTCAGAGTAAATAATGAGGATGTGAGGTTGATGCTGTGGGATACTGCTGGCCAAGAGGAGTTTGATGCCATCACTAAGGCATACTACAGAGGTAAGACCGGTGTGTGGCATTAATCAGTGACATCACTAAGGCATACTACAGAGGTAAGGCCACTGTGTGGCATTAATCAGTGACATCACTAATGCATACTACGGAGGTAAGGCCACTGTGTGGCATTTACAGTGACATCACTAAGGCATACTACGGAGGTAATGCCACTTTGTGGCATTAATCAGTGACATCACAAAGAATACAGAATTAAGGCCACACCTTGTGGTATATTGAGATGTAAAACAAAAGTCTATCGCTACCATACTTTACATTAACCTTGATAACTCTGATGCTGTCACTATACTTCCTTCAGATTGTTATGTGTACAGTAATAGTACAGTATTATTGAGTCTTCTTGGATTTGATTTACAATCTGTAGTGTTAGTAACATGAATGCCAGCTCCTACATGCTTAATACAGATATAGTATCATACAGTATGAATCCCCTCTGGCCCTTTATATCTCTGTAATCGCCTCGACGTCAGACCCAAGTTATCGGTTTTTAGATATTAGACACAAATGTATTCAGAGTATAAGGGGATTTTTAGGGTCCATAGTGTATTTTAACTTGCTGATATTTAAAGGGAAACGGCTGCAGATTTATACTCAGATACGATGGGTATTCTGCCTGTCTCTCACTGTGTACCAGGAATAATGGGGGTCTTTCGAGTACAAAACAGGGTCAGTTTAAAGGGCTGTAAGGATTTGAAAACAATATGCCAATGTTTGGCCAAGGTGACAGGACAGGTGATTTGTCCATTAAAGCTAATATTTCCTTATTTAAGCTTCTCGCATATCTTGAAACATATACATGTTGAATTTGCTTATAGACTCTTAATACATGTAGATGTGGAAGGGCAATTTGGTTTGATGTGGTTTATGCCTAGTGTTTAAAATGGTGTCTGTCACACAGTTAATGGAGCATACTTCTCTCTATTGGTAAATTTTCGTCATGGTAAAGTTGAACGTTGAGATGTATAGAAGAAGTAAGGAAATTACCTGATAGACAATGTAGGAGAGAGATCAGTGAAATATTTCATTGTCATTTACAACGTTTACAAACAAACAGTGTATTGTGATCTGGAACACTGTAATCCTTGTAATGATTCTATATACTTCTGTTTCGACTTGAATCAACACCTATAGGCACTGTGGTTATACAGGAGATTAGTACGATCTCCGGGAGCTGCAGGTGTAAGATTTACACATTGTTTAGGGGTCATTAATTTCGCGATCAAATTTGACCTTTTCTCACTTTGAATTACAGGTACAATTAAAATACAAACAAACTATGCCACACAGCCCAAAGGTTTACATAAATTACCATTCTGTCAGAAAATTAACATCAGACCATGGGTAATCTTCATCTACCCTGTCTAAACATATTTAGGACATTTTATCATGTAAATTTGTCCTAATTTAGATTAGGACAAAAAGAATCATATTGAAATGGGTAAATGCTTCTATATACACAGGCTAATAATGATAAAACTAGGTAGAGATGTATTGATCAGAATTTAGGTTAAGCTCTGTAGGCAACATACAGAAAAATTACACTCTGGTCCCAGAACTGTAAAATAAAGGTCCCCTGACCTATATAAAAATCACACAGGTCCCAGGCTTGTATAACAAAGGTCCATCTATGTACATACAGACAAATCACACAGGTCATCGACTTATACAACAACAGCCCCCCAAACCTACATACAAATTACACTCTGGTCCCAGGAGTATATAATTAAGGTCCCCTTACCTTTATACAAATCAAACAGGTCCCAGGCCCTTGTTACAAAGGTCACCCAACCTACATACAGACAAATTACACAGGTCCCTGAACTTTATGAAAATGGTTCATCGACCTACATACAGAAAATTCACACAGGTCTCCAACTTATATAACAAAGGTCCCCCAACCTAAAGACAGAAAGGACACACCAGTCCTGGACCAGATTTTCTAATCAGGTTTCATTGTAATCAGTTAACAGAACTACCAATGGAGATTTGGTGAGGAATACCTTAAATTTCCACATATAGTGCGCACTTTTTCAAGCTAAAACTGTTGTGTCAAAAAGGGGGTACGCATTATATGCAGGAACATGCCATTCTTGGGGTTATCATTCCCGAGTTCTGCGTCCGCCATATTGGATTACCTCCCTATAGTTATATGTAAAAATTGTCGGTCATATATGATAGTTTGGAGATAAAAACAACAACAAAAAAATTAAAATAAATTTCGAATGTTTTAATCATCAGCCATTCACGCTAGCATTATGGTGAATCTAATTTTTTTTTTTTTTCGTTTCCCGTCGTTCAAATAGTGACGGTCATACTATTGGTCGGGGCTATAGTAGTGTCTGAATTGTTGCCTCATTTTGATGATGTATCTCTGGAATTCAATGAGTCCGGAAGGTATGATTTTTTTCGAAGTGCCCAATGTCACTAATGTATATATGATCATAAGTAGCAGTATGGTACAGGCTGTCTGTACCCAGTTCTGTACATCTGTAAAACATGGACACCACATGTTATTTGGTATTAATGGTCCTGGTCTGGTGCTCAGAGCCCTGTAATTAATGGAAGGGTGTTGTCTTGCACAAGGTTACAAGAAGTCCAACTCAGTGTGTGTCCTGCGTGTAGCTAGTTTGTCTCTATTACAAGGTAATGACTTTAATTCTTTTCCCAGCAGGTGACTTTTAATGTAACCTGTACACTCTGTACACCCTTCTATTGACTTATGGTATTAATATCAAAACCTTGGGATAATCTACCAGACAGAGATATTGTACTGCAGATTATCACCAGGTGTTTGGTTAATCCTGTCTTTGAGAGATGTTCTCTGATTAACATTAAAACTTGACATATTTTTTCAGATTAAGCATTAGGTTCCAGATTTTTTCTTACTTATCAACAGTGCTAATTCCATTACATCCATTTTTTATTTAATTAAATATTTAATTAATTTACACTTATATACAACATCAAATACCTGTTATAACAGTAAATGTTTAGTCTATTAAAGTTTCATACACTTCCTTTCTCTGTCTATTTTAGGGGCCCAGGCGTGTGTGCTGGCCTTTTCTACTGTCGATCGAGACTCTTTTGAGGCAGTTGAATCCTGGAAGAAAAAGGTATTTTCACAGATAAAACTGAATTGCATTGTGCAATTATGGATTTTTTTAATAAGTTCAATTTTGAACAAAAAGAAATAAAAACGTTTTTTTTTCCAAACAGTGAAAAGAGGAATGCCTTTTTCTTGTAAACATAATATAATCAAACTGACATTTTGTTTTTCTTATCTACTTAAGTTAGCTTCATGTATCTGTTGTTAATAAAGTAGATGTCAACTGAGATAAAACTGAATGTATGTCTCAATAGTCGTCACGTTTGTATTCAGTGACTAATGCAGTAAAATGATTAGGGAATACCTGGACAGAAATCACTAATCAGATTTACCTGTACCTGGTCTGTGTTTCAGGTGGAGGATGAGGTGGGGGAGATCGGGATGGTTATTATCCAGAATAAGATTGACCTCATAGACGATACTGTGGTTAATGAGTAAGTGAAGAACTGAAGAATCATATTTATGGTTATAGAAAACTCTCATCTAGAATACATTTATGTGCAGAATTTCAAAAATGTGATCACACAAATCACCTTGTTGCTTGGAATAGAAAAAAACTGCTTTGATTTAATGGACAAATTTAAAATTTAATTGAAATATTTCATTGCCATGGTGATATATATATATACATGTATATATTTTTTTATCAATAATTATAACTTTTCTTAATGTTAATAAATACTGATTAAGAATTTGACTTCAACCTTTATTGTTCTAAAACAATATCGTCTTTAGTAAATTAAAAATTCAGTTTTTAGGAATGTTTTAAAATGAGATTACACGTGGAAACTGGTAAAGTGTCTGTATGATACCGTTAACGTACAAAGAATTTATATAGAATTTGTAACATTGCTATAGTGAAGAAGCTGAGGATCTGGCAAAGAGACTAAGGCTGCGATTCTACAGAACATCTGTCAAAGAGAATCTCAATGTGGACGAAGGTGAGACAGTCATGTTACACTTCAAGGGGGAGTAAGGGAGACAACTCTATTAGGACAACATTTACTGAGTAAAATACACAATATTAGGTTAATAAGTAGGAGAGACAAGTCACTGTTGACGATGATGAAACATTTGTGTTACAGATATATTGTGGTAGGGGATAGAGTAGAATATTTACTTAATGTACTTACAGCATTAAGCTGATTTCATTTGGCATTTACGGGCTATGAATGCCACCTGAAAGCAGTTCAATGCTTATATTAATATCCATATACTATCTTCATGTCATAAGGGGAGACAACCTCAATTTGCTTACATTATTTGCAGTATTCTTATGCTATTGGCAGTTCATGAACTGGTAATACACAACTGAACTTGGTAAGGTTACATTGTAGCAATGCCATACAATGGCAAATATTACACAATATTCTAGATTTATAAGTAACAGATTATTGTGGATAGGGATGAAAGATTTACCAATTGTGTTATAAATGCACTGTATGCTGTGGTATGGGAGGGATAGAACATATACTGGGCTTGTTACGCAGTCTCAGCTTAGAAATAAGGAAGACCATTCCAGCAGAGGATTACTGTATACTGGTGTAGTCAGCTCAGTACAAACACTTCCTGTATCTCATACCATACAGTAAATGTGACAGTCAGTCAGTTAGCTCAGTAAAAACACTTCCTGTATCTCATACCATACAGTAAATGTGACAGTCAGTCAGCTCAGTAAAAACACTTCCTGTATCTCATACCATACAGTAAATGTGACAGTCAGTCAGCTCAGTAAAAACACTTCCTGTATCTCATACCATACAGTAAATGTGACAGTCAGTCAGCTCAGTAAAAACACTTCCTGTATCTCATACCATACAGTAAATGTGACAGTCAGTCAGCTCAGTAAAAACACTTCCTGTATCTCATACCATACAGTAAATGTGACAGTCAGTCAGTCAGCTCAGTAAAAACACTTCCTGTATCTCATACCATACAGTAAATGTGACAGTCAGTCAGTCAGCTCAGTAAAAACACTTCCTGTATCTCATACCGTACAGTAAATGTGACAGTCAGTCAGCTCAGTAAAAACACTTCCTGTATCTCATACCATACAGTAAATGTGACAGCCAGTCAGTCAGCTCAGTAAAAACACTTCCTGTATCTCATACCATACAGTAAATGTGACAGTCAGTCAGCTCAGTAAAAACACTTCCTGTATCTCATACAATACAGTAAATGTGACAGTCAGTCAGCTCAGTAAAAACACTTCCTGTATCTCATACAATACAGTAAATGTGACAGTCAGTCAGCACAGTAAAAACACTTCCTGTATCTCATACCATACAGTAAATGTGACAGTCAGTCAGCACAGTAAAAACACTTCCTGTATCTCATACCATACAGTAAATGTGACAGTCAGTCAGCACAGTAAAAACACTTCCTGTATCTCATACCATACAGTAAATGTGACAGTCAGTCAGCACAGTAAAAACACTTCCTGTATCTCATACCATACAGTAAATGTGACAGTCAGTCAGCTCAGTAAAAACACTTCCTGTATCTCATATCGTACAGTAAATGTGACAGTCAGTCAGCTCAGTACAAACACTTCCTGTATCTCATACCATACAGTAAATGTGAGGACTTAATGTATGATATACATCACATTACATGGAAATGTGACAACTTAATGTATGATATACATCGCATTACGTGAAAATGTGACAACTTAATGTATGATATACATTACATTACGTGGAAATGTGACGACTTAATGTATGATATACATCACATTACATGGAAATGTGACGACTTAATGTATGATATACATCACATTACGTGGAAATGTGACAACTTCCTGTGTTTTTTAGGAATTTAAGACTTTTGATTGTATACTCTTCGTTATAGACATCTTTGATCATCCTTGTCAACTGTCATTTCAGTTTTTCGCTATCTTTCGGAGAAGTACTTGGACCAAATCAATTGTGAGGTGGAAGAGCCAGAACCTAAAATTTCCATAGGTCAAGGTAGAGTATACCGTTCATTGCCTGCTTTATATCATCAATGTTACATTTCCAGCTCTCATACCAAGCTAACCATATCAAAATAAACAACATCAGGTCGTTGTCTGTACTTTTAAGTCAGTACAAATGATTTTTATATTACAACCAGTAAGTGGAAGGCAAGAGACACTTTTGTGATAATTTGTGTTTGACACTTTCCTGATAACTAGGACATAAAAAGTGTTTGACACTTTCCTAGTAATGTGGTAATAGAAAGCGTTTGACACTTTCCTGATAACTTGGACATAAAAAGTGTTTGACACTTTCCTGGTTATGTGGTAATAGAAAGTGTATGAAGCTTTCCTGGTAATTTGGTGTCAATACTAAATTGCTGGACATTTTTTCTGTTGTCACAGTTTTGTTATGATCAGTATAAAAATAATATTTGAAGAGTTTATTTATATTAACTGTGTATTAACTCATGTATTTTGAAAGATTTTGCGTCTCTGAAAGAATACAAGACTTACAAGTGACGTCAGTACGTTATATTAAACATTCTTGTTTTAGGCTTACTTGAAAGTGGTGGCATTACCAATCATTCAAAGGAAAAAGACAGTTCAAAAAGTAAAAACAAAAAAATCGGAAATGGCAAAGCATCTCACAAGCATCGATTTAAAATGCGGAACGGTGAGGATTCCACGATAAAACTAGAACCTAGTAAACGGAGGACAAGGGGCAAGAAAGCAATTGTGACTGCTAAGTGTGTTATATTATAGAACCTTGGTAATTGTGACTGCCTTAATATGGCAGTAGTTGTCTTACACCTTCAGTCTTCACTGGATCATGTGACTATATTCAGGAGCCAATGACAGTGCAGTTCCCAACGAAGCAACGTGGTGTTCATTTTTCATGAATAAGTGACTTTGCTTGTGTACTTTGTTTTAATGTATATTTTGTGAGGCAATGCATGTATGATTCTACAGGAAGATGCACATGGGTGACAAAGTGAAAAATACTGTGTTTATGTCAAGGGCATCTGCTACGTTCTCAGTGTTAGGGTTTTACAACTCTTAAGTAGGGAATTCCTGAAAGTAACCCAGAAATATATAATTATATATTGAAAGTCAGTTCTATTTTGCATGGCTTTTATTTTCGCATTTAATACGTGAGGAAAGCCAATTACAAATTGAAATCCTTTGCAGTGATTTGTACAAAAATGACTGGGATGGCATTCATGTTAATTGGGTTACAGCTATCGGAGTCTTCAAGTGTTCAAGCTTTAATAGCTCATCATTCGCGAATTTAAAGTCATTTCTAGATCAGAGTTCATGAAATCATGAATTTGTGAATACATCTGATGAGGTAAGTTCGTGAAAAATGTAGTCACGAAATCTACATGAATTATTGTATTTCTATGATAAAATCAGTCAAGTGTAGTCAGAAAGTACTCTATCTAACTAAGCCTGAGGTTCTGATGTATAAACCAGAGTCAACCATTCTATATATAGTTGATAGGGAGTAAAATCTTCTACTTGACATCTTTCTTGTCATTACGTTACCGTACGTTTACAAACTCTGCACTTTCATGTTATGAATTTTGTGCCTGTAGAGACCCACTATATGTACATAACTTTGTTTAAATGTCTATAGTAAAAAAAAGTTACCTTATGAAAACAAACATTTCAGGGTTATAACTTACTGGTTCACAATAAATCACTATATCTGTCAGTGTTTTACAGATTATTCATGGTCGTCTCAAAAAGTTAGCTACAGTATGTATACACTGACTCTTCTTCAGCCTCAGTCAGTGATAATTAGAAATGCCAAAACTGTATAGTTTGCCAAAACAATATTATTTAAAGACCAAAGACAGCCAGTATAGTATATATTCCTTCCTGTTACTGTACAATTTGTCTTCTGCTGAAGTGGACCAATCGTTGTTTGGTATCAGTTATCACATTACATATTCAGGACCAACTTTCTGATTTGTGTTTTTAGGAGAGAAAATGTAAAAATTTCTATTGAAAACTTTCCTTTATCTTGTTTCAATAGTTTGTTATATGATTGCTGTCCAGAATATACTTCCTTTATCTTGCTGAAGAAAGAATGAATGAACATAACATTACTTGGAGTACTTGCCAGAAAATACAAACAAATAATCATATATCTATCATATCTGTGCCATTATATACCTAAAAACAATTAACATTGTTTTGTTTGTTGATATGTACATGTAAACATTATTTAGATACATATATATACACCTGGGTATATATACTCAACATGATGTATATATATATATATATAAAACATAGCTGATATATATATATATATATGTATATATATCATATATATATATATAACACAGCTATATATAAATATATATATATGTATATATATCACAGCTTATATATATATATAAAACACAGCTGATATATATATATATATAAAACACAGCTGATATATATAGATATATATGTATATATAAAACACAGCTGATATATATAGATATATATGTATATATGTCACAGCTTTTGCGAGATATGTATTCTTGCCTTTTAAATGTAAATATCTTGTCCACTTGTTCTACCAATTAATCCCACTTCTGTCCCCTCCACTTATCGCTCAATCTTGACATCACAGGGTTTTCAGACTTTCACAATAATACTGAGTGTTTGCCATTAATGTTGCACAACAAAGTTTTTACAAATGTTAGGTGTTAACTGATGTAAGTAATATTTGCTGTCTTTATGTGGAGCGCAAGACCCTCTTTCCTATGGTAATTATCTCACGAATGTCACGTGTAGTGCTTAACAGTTATATTTAATATACTTCTATCAGAATTGTGCTTGCTGGTTGGATGACTTGAAGTGTAGAGTATTTGATGCTGATTGGATGCTTTCAAGTGTTAAGTCTTCGATGCTGATTGGATGCTTTCAAGTGTTAAGTCTTCAATGCTGATTGGATGTTTTCAAGTGTAGAGAATTTGATGCAGATTGGATGCTTTCAAGTGTAGAATCTTCATTGCTGATTGGGTGCTTTCTAGTGTTGAGTCTTTGATGCTGATTGGATGAGCTCTGTCACAAAATTCTGGTTGCTGATTGGATGTTCCTTAGTAGAATGTTGATATTGAGATAAAATTTTCAAGCTCAAATATTTTAACTGCTAATACACTTAAGTTCAAATTTTCATGTTTTCATAAGTCATTCATTAAATTGGAATGATTGATGTGATTGTGCCTTTCATTTGTTTTACTATCCCCCGCTTTCACCGAAACGGGGGTAATTAGGGTTTGTCCATCTGTCCGTCCATCTGTCACTTTTGTTTCCGTGTTCTAACTTCCCCAAATATCATCCAATTTGGGTGAAACTTAGTCAGCAGATGCATCTTGGGGTCATTAAGACTGAGTTTGACTATCAGTGTCATCTGTTAATATTTATGCATACTAATGAGGTATCCTTTGATTTCATTGGTCGGTTCATTTCCGTGCTCTAACTTCCCTAAATATAATCTGATTTAGATGAAACTTGGTCAGCAGATGCATATTAGGGCAAATAAGACTGAGTTCAGCAATCAGCATCATCTGGTAATATCTATGCATACTAATTAGGTATCCTTTCATTTCATTGGTCGGTCAGTTTTTGTGCTCTAACTTTCCTAAATATAACCTGATTTAGATGTAACTTGAAGTCCCACAAATATTATCCAGTCCCCTTTACTGATCATTATATTGTGTAGACTGCTATACCTGCTGATGACCATGGAACTGCTTAGCACCATTATAGTTACTAGTATGCAAGTTTTCTTCAATAAGTTAACTCTATTGATTAATATTTGATATGTCCAATAAAACATCTACTCTCTATAATCCTTTACATCTTTCTTTGGCTTTAAAGCAATACATCATAGCTCAAGAGAATATATCATTCTACATAGCATTATGACATGTTTACTCCTAACCTCTGAAATATTTACTTACAATATGTTTGGAAAGCGGGGGATATAAATTCCATGGATTTGCTTGTTTGTATAGATTATCTGCTGAATCTATGAAAACATATAAATGTCTTCTGACTTATTAGGAATTTACTTCTGATGATGTAGATCTGAATCCTTTTTACATGTGTAGGATTTTCCTGTTATTTTCCATGATAGGTACTATAATTTCCTTACACAAAGCTGTTAGTGGTAGTTTTACTGGCAAAAAAATTACTAGTGTTTATATATCAGTGCTCATGCATAAAGCATCAAAAACATCCATGTCAATAGTGATTCAACATATTCTGTAAAAACACCCCACCACAACCTGATGTTTATTAGTACATAAACACCCCACCACAACCTGATGGTTATCACTACATAAACACCCTCACCACAACCTGATGTTTATTAGTACATAAACACCCCACCACTACCTGATGTTTATCACTACATAAATACCCTACCACTACCTGATGTTTATCACTACATAAACACCCCACCACTACCTCATGTTTTATCACTACATAAACACCCCCATCACTACCTGATGTTTATTAGTACATAAACAACCCACCACTACCTGATGTTTATCACTACATAAACACCCTATCACTACCTGATGTTTATCACTACATAAACACCCTATCACTACCTGATGTTTATCACTACATAAACACCCCACCACTACCTGACATTTATCTGTACATAAACACCCCACCACTACCTGATGTTTATCACTACATAAACACCCTACCACTACCTGATGTTTATCACTACATAAACACCCCACCACTACCTGATGTTTATCACTACAGAAACACCCCACCACTACCTGATGTTTATCTGTACATAAACACCCCCACCACTACCTCATGTTTTATCACTACATAAACACCCCCACCACTATCTGATGTTTATCACTACATAAACACCCCCACCACTACCTGATGTTTATCACTACATAAACACCCCACCACTACCTGATGTTTATCACTACATAAACACCCCACCACTACCTGATGTTTATCTGTACATAAACACCCCCACCACTACCTCATGTTTTATCACTACATAAACACCCTACCACTATCTGATGTTTATCACTACATAAACACCCCCACCACTACCTGATGTTTATCACTACATAAACACCCCCACCACTACCTCATGTTTATCACTACATAAACACCCCACCACTACCTGATGTTTATCACTACATAAACACCCCCACCACTACCTGATGTTTATCACTACATAAACACCCTATCACTACCTGATGTTTATCACTACATAAACACCACACCACTACCTGATGTTTATCACTACATGAACCTGATCTTTATAACTTCTCTATCTGGTACACTAGATTTTGGCCACTCTTTTTAACTTGCCTTTGATACAATAAATTTTATCTAGCCAATTACTAAAGCTAAACATGTACACACTTTTTATACCTGATGACACCATTAAACAGATATTCATATAATTATTTATGTTAATTTAAAAAAAGCTTATTATGTGCCCTGTCAGCCTTTAATTACTGTTTACAAACGTTTCTGATCTCCCTGTGAATTTGGCATCAGTCTTCCATTTAACAAGTTGAAATTTAGGTTGTATAGATGTCAAGGATTATTTTTGTTTGAAATCAACAAATGTCTTGTCTCTGTGAAAACATTTAGGTTGTGTAGAGATGTCAAGGATTATCTCCCCTTACATTTAGCATATCTGATCTGCCATCTGTTGGTTGGGACATGTACATTGTGTAGAGATGTATTATCTCCCCTAGATAACATCTGTTGTGTTGATGTGTCAAGGATTATGTCCTCTTTTATTACATTTATTTACATAAATAGACAAATCTGCTGTTTAAGGTGACATGTTGGTTGTGTAGAGGTATCAATGATTATCTCCCCTAGACATAAACATAAATAGACAAATCTGCTGTTTAAGGTGACATGTTGGTTGTGTAGAGGTATCAATGATTATCTCCCCTAGACATTAACATAAATAGACAAATCTGCTGTTTAAGGTGACATGTTGGTTGTGTAGAGGTGTCAATGATTATCTCCCCTAGACATGAACATAAATAGACAAATCTTCTGTTTAAGGTAACATGTTGGTTGTTTAGAGATATCAAGGATTATCTCCCCTCGACATTTACATAGATATGTTTTCTGTTTATGGAAACATGTTTGTTGTGTAGAGGTATCAATGATTATCTCCCCTAGACATAAACATAAATAGACAAATCTGCTGTTTAAGGTGACATGTTGGTTGTGTAGAGGTATCAATGATTATCTCCCCTAGACATTAACATAAATAGACAAATCTGCTGTTTAAGGTGACATGTTGGTTGTGTAGAGGTGTCAATGATTATCTCCCCTAGACATGAACATAAATAGACAAATCTTCTGTTTAAGGTGACATGTTGGTTGTTTAGAGATATCAAGGATTATCTCCCCTCAACATTTACATAGATATGTTTTCTGTTTATGGAAACATGTTTGTTGTGTAGAGGTATCAATGATTATCTCCCCTAGACATTAACATAAATAGACAAATCTTCTGTTTAAGGTGACATGTTTGTTGTGTAGAGGTGTCATGGATTATCTCCCCTTGACATTTACATATATAGATATGTCTACTGTTCATGTAAACATGTTTGTTGCGTAGAGGTGTCTAGGATTATCTCCCCTTTGACACATATATATTTAGATCTGTCTTCTGATAATATCTCTGATATAACAAGGAAACGTCACAATTTACTTAAACATTGTTTATATAGAACCTAAAAGTGCAATATCTGTTTTGATCTGACTTACATAGACTGGTGATAGATCAGTTGTTTTGTTTCACTGATGAAATATTTTTTATTTTTATTGGTGTATAATTCCGCACCAATTGTAGTGATTCTGCTTGGTGATGTTTCTTAGATTCATCTCTACTTTGTGAGATTGTGAATTTTTTGTTATCATTCCTGTGCATGTACCAAAAATTTGAAATCACCGACCACATTTTCATCCCCATAAGTGGATTTCTCATTTTTCATTTTAAGTGATGCTTAAATCTTAAAAACAATATAGTATTGTGTAGGTATTTATATATAGTTACATGTTCCAATATACATGTTTTGTCTGACCCTGGAGTAATAATGTGTTAGGGATGTTGTGTAACATTCAGTGGCTACATCTGACATCCCTCAAAACATTTGTCTGACCCTGGTAATATAACATGTTTGAGAACAGTTCACCTAATGTCTCTATGGTGTTTCGACACCAAAATAATTTTTTTCAAAGATTAATCAATAATCAATGGAAAGGCTATTGTAAGTAAAATTATACCTACATCGTTCAATTAGTTGACAATTTGTCTGCCGAATATTTCATCTGTGCGATTGTAAATTTGTCATTATTCTGTAGTCTGTGTATTATCAGAGTGATTTTTATATGTAATAGAATGAAATAAATATTATGAACACCATCTATAGTTCCTGGTCTTCATTTTTTAAAGATATAAATTTGAAGTACCCCGGTAGTATAGTTTCTGTCCAGGTAAGAAGTTTGTTTTAGCAGGTTTAACAACCACACTACAGCCATGGTAATAGGTCAAGAAAATCATATAAAAGTTAGCATTATGATTGTTTTTTATGTACCAACTCAAGATAGAAAGTGCCACTGTTAAATCATTAATTCTTTAGATTAATTTTCGTTTGTTTCTTATATACTCTAAATCCACAAATTCATACATCTATTAACTGTTTAAATTAGCATTTTTAGCTCAACATCTTCAGATGGTGGGCTTTTAAATTTCACTACATCCATGGTTCATCAACAGATTTTTAAGTCACCGGAGAAAAAAGTCTCAGGGTAACCTACTGCGATCCACTTTTGTCTACCATCGTGCGTCTTAAATTTCAAAATTTTCAACTTCTTCTGGAAAACTTTTCGAACAGATTTCAATGAATTTCACAAAAACTTTCTATTACTAAAGGTCCACCCAAATTGTAAATTATATAGTTCCCAACCCCCAAGGACCTGAGGGATGGGCCTAGATAGAAGATTTTATATAAGAAACTACAAATCTAGAGTGTAATTTCTTTTAATTCAAACTTGGTTAGAAGTCTTAGCATGGGACAGCAGTTAATGTATACACAATTTACATTTGCATTATGTGTACAATGTAGTTGAAGTTATATAACTTTTTTAACAAAATCATTTCTATGACATTTTACAAGAAGCATTGTGACTCAATTGACCAGTAAGGCCCTTGGACCTCTTGTTCTTAATACTTTTTCTTTAGAAGAACAGGATGGATCTTTTTCAAATTTCACAACATGTGAGTGTGTGCCATAACATGGCAGCTATCATCCATTGTCTATCATCTGTCGGTCCAGAGTCAACTTTTCTGTTTGAATGACTTCTTCTCAATAAACATTAGACCAAATGTCACGTGTTTGGCTGGTTGGTTGCTTGGATGAAGCCAGATAAAGACTGAAAAGAAATGACCTGGATCGATATTCAAGGTCACAGGGGTAAAATGTTTAAAAACCTTTAAACGATTTTCTCTGACAAACCAAGAGACCAAGAAGCATGATATCTGACTGAAGTGTTCCAAGTAAGAATCCTGACATATTTAACGTCACAGAGGTCAGATGTGTTAAAAAATTTTTTATAAAACTTCTTCTGAATAAGCAACAGGCCCAGAAGCATATTATTTCACTGATACATCACTGGGGTCAAATTTGTTAAAACCTTAAAACCACTCGTGTTGACTGTGTATTTCTGTGGGGAAAGAAATTCAGGCAGCAGATAAAAACTGCAAATTTAACTTTAACAAACATTATTTTCAGTAACCTGTGAAGGTTGAAATTTTCCAGGCAATGTGGCATCATATAGCATGTTGTGTAAAACTTCATATTTCTGCACATCAATAGTTTGAAAAAGTGACAGTGCAATATTTTAAAATTTACTTGAATCACAAAATACAAGCAAAATAAAAAAAAATCACAGTATATTGAAAGTTTATCCATTCAACCATGAAGGATAGAGTAGAAATTCCTGAAGAACAATGCCAACACACCTGTACAAATCTTTCCTAGGTGTGAGTGATGTCTCAGCATGAAAAACAATCTGTAAAGGATACTGTCTCTTAAATTGTTTTATTCAATAACACAAATAATGTTAAACATTTTGAGATTTAACCAATATCTAACCTATAAACCTTTTAGTTTATTGTCCAGCTGATAAAATACATGTTAACAGGGGTCGAAAAACATCACGTACATCAAAAGTAGCAAGGACAGAAAACAGACAGAGCTGCAGGATTAAACACAGAGCTGTAGGATTAAACACAGAGATGCAGAATTAAACACAGATCTATAGGATTAAACACAGAGGTGTAGAATTAAACACAGAGATGCAGAATTAAACACAGAGCTGTAGGATTAAACACAGAGATGTAGAATTAAACACAAAGGTGTAGGATTAAAAACAGAGATGCAGAATTAAACACAGAGCTGTAGGATTAAACACAGAGGTGTAGGATTAAACACAGAGATGCAGAATTAAACACAGATCTATAGGATTAAACACAGAGGTGTAGGATTAAACACAGAGATGCAGAATTAAACACAGAGCTGTAGGATTAAACACAGAGATGCAGGATTAAACACAGTTGTAGGGACAGAAAGTAAATAGAGAGCTATAGGATTAAAGAGAGAACTTAAGGGACAGGAAATAAACAGAGAGCTGCAAGATTAAACACAGAGCTGTAGGATTAAACACAGAGCTATAGGATTAAACACCAAGCTATAGGATTAAACACAGAGCTGTAGGATTAAACAGCTGTAGGATTAAAGCTGTAGGGGAAGAAAATAAACAGAGCTGTTGGAGGAGAAAATAAACAGAAAGCTGTTGGAGTTGAAAATAAACAGAGAGCTGTTGGAGTTGAAAATAAACAGAGAGCTGTTGGAGTTGAAAATAAACAGAGAGCTGCTGGAGGAGAAAATAAACAGAAAGCTGTAGGGATAGAAATTATAAGAATCACAGGAGCAGAAAGTACCAGGTAAAGCTTGTGTTCTTTTTTTAGTAAATTTTGATTGAAAAACATAACTAGATAAATACAATACTATTTACCACCACCACCACTTAATGTGTAACCTCTATCCCAGTCAAGGCCTGATATTCTGTATAAAAATATCACTTGATTCAAAGCAGGGAATGAGAAAGTAAGCCTGAGATAAATAGATTTTATCAGCATATGTTGACTATAAGGAAATCTTTTTTACTAATTTGATAATGAAAACAAAGAGAAACAGGATGTGTAATTGTTACTACTGAGCTGATGGTTCTTACCTACATCAACTTTTTAAGTTTAAATAGTGAATTGATGGTTCTGTCATTGAAGCAACATCTTACTTTTGTACTGATGGTTCTGACCTGTATTAACTACATCTATATGAGGAAGTCTTGTACAGCCCTTTTTACATTTTTGAAGTGTGCTTATTAGGCCGATTAAGGTAAGTAACAAGTCACTTTTTATAAGAATATACATTCAGCTATTTATCTATCATTCATAGCATTTATATTCACGAAAATAAGATTTAACATAACATCCTTCATTTCTCAATCCTGTAATTTTCCAATTTGTAGTAAAGTAGATCATTCTGAATGGAGCCCAATCTCCCACATCAGTAAGCCATAGATATGGAATATAGTGTAATTAACAGAGTTGTTTATAATTTGTCTACATTGTACACATGCTATTGTGATAAAAAGTAGATTGTACTATGCAGAAGTTCTAATACAAAATGTATTAATATGGAAGAAACAAATATTAGTTAATATCATTCAATTCATGGACAAACAAACTGTTGAGTAGCAATTTGAGCAAATATAAACATTTTTTTAAGTAAATCAGAAGGCTTCATTTTGTTCACATGATAGTACATTATGAATTAAGAAGCAGTTTAACTATTTGTAACACACAACCATTCATTCACAATCAAATGAAGTTAGTAAATGTGACAAATGATCAATAGAGTAATGTCACGTCCGATAACATTATTGAAAGGCATAACCATTAAAATACTGAACAAGAAGGAATAACTCCATTTAAACTTAATACTTTAACAATGAATGACAATGTAAATGTAATGATATTGTTCTAATCTATCTACATAAATAGTCAGTTCATTATAATACTTTATCACTTTTACTACTCAGTTCCTGTAGTAATGTTTGTAGTCTACATTTTACTTTCTTCTGATCATCAACTGTACATCCTAATATGGAGCCTTGGAATCTCTGGTCAATAGACCCCATCGGTTCTGCCAGACAAGCATTTAGGTAAGTTTTAGTTTTCATGACTGCCTTCTCAACTGAACATGCACATAAATCTTCCAGCTGCTGCAACTGCTCATTGACACACTTCAGGGCATTCTCCTGCGACTCATTCCTGGGTGTTGTCACAGCTATCTCAACTGTCAGACAACGACACACTAGTCTTTCTGCTAGGGCATCAATTTCATCTCGCTCATCTAGGAGGAAAAGGAAAACATAGAGTACAAACTGTTTATCTGCTCTCTTACATTTACATAAGTGTAGCACAATAATTAATTGATTTTCCTAGATCCGGACGATGCTGAATGCAGTCAACTTTAGCAGTTTGAGCAATCAAACCACAAGTACTAACCTTCTCCAAATATAAACTTACATACTAGTGATTATAGAATATATATATAATAGATTTGTTGATATAATATGCTAATATCTATGCTTTAAACTAGTATTTTTTATTTAAGAAATTAAGACCAAATTCCCCCGAATTTTGTTACAATTTCTTATGAGCCATGACAAAGCCTTTTGGCCAGTTCGTCAATATGCCTGTGTCATGTAATGAACAGGAGTCACCTCTATCTATTAATGATTAATAGAACTACAAAGAAATGCTGATTGTCCTTTAACAACTTTGAGCCAGAGGTACATGTCACGTGTTAGACCCCTTGTGGTATTGCTTAATAAATACAGTAATCAGCTTTGCAGTTTTTTACTGAAAATTTCAATAGCTATTGAACAATTAACGATTTGAAAATCATGATCAATTACCTTCATCAGATTGGCCATCCATTCAGTATCAAGCAAAAAACACTAAGTAAATATTATTACACAGGCTTTGTCATTGGTTTGAATCTACGCCTTTTAAACATATATATATATATATACCTTCAGTGAATTCAATATTGTTATCGTTATCCTGCACTCGCTGTAACTCCTGCAGTAGTACACATTTTTCTTGTTCCATTTCAAGTGCATGTTCTCGAAGCTTCTCGACTCTACTTTCGATTGAATATAAGTGGCCTATAATTGTCTTTCGGTCTTCGTCTTCTATTGGCAATATTTCTACATCTTTGAAATCTGCATTTTCTTTTCCAGGTGAAGGCTCAACACCGAAACAAGGGTCTTCTAAATTTGTCGTGTTGTTTTCGTTCACGACCGCCATCGTAAGTGCTTTTTCTACCTCCACCAGTGTAAGAGTACTACTTCGTCGGTGTCAGTTAAAGCTTTGAAAAAGTGTTATTCTTTTTGTTGCAAGCAAACATTTAAGTGCTTTTGACATTTGTCAAGGACATCGGCAAGAGTCCCAGCAGTACGGTTTGCTTTTCTCTTAATTCTTGGTTTCATTCTAAAACTGATTTTTTTTATGCGAAAGTTAAAGCCGAAAAGGGTGTATCTTTAAATGTTCAATTGAAAAGGGATCAGACAAAATCAGGGCATAAATAGTTATACAGTTACTGCCTAATGTTAATATGCCTAGATTCAACTGACCATGTTGTCCTCGAACACAAAACACTGTTTTGCCCTGTTTTTATATGAGTACTTGTCAATGATTTCAATTATTGTTGCGTAAACTCAGGAAAGACATGTCATGAAATTTTCAGCAATCATATGAGACAGGCAATGCCTGGAAAGAACGAAGCTTACATGTCACATCGACATCAATAAAACACCAATAAATTTTGGTTAACTTGTTAGAGCTTCAAGACTTTAATAAAGACATTTGGAAGACAATTTGGCGCGATACAGCGACTGATCGGTCGCACAATTATTGTGATACTGACGTTTTGTGTGCCTGTGTATATGTTGTGATGCTTTTCATGAAATTGGTTGGCATTATATGCCAGGTACTTGTAGTGATAAAGAAATTTTTAACTTGTGCCAACTTCATTTGTGTAGAACCATATCTATGTTTATTAATAATTAAAAATAAGTCAGATGAATCAAGAAAACGAAAATGCTGTCGTAGATTTTTCGATGAACAATAGCGACGGGTAAAGTGCAGAGCACCTATTCTCTATGTATTTCATTTCCAGAAGAATTTTTATCAGATGGATCAGTTTTTGCAATTTGGACCTCTCATCCTGGATGTGAACTAAACATGGTCTTTCACATGTTATTTTTAGCATTAATAGGTGCCTGAAATAACAGTCACTCATAAAACACATCATGGAAGTATCATAAGCTAGATCAGAAATCCAAAGTCGTATGGCTCTAGTATCTAGGATTGGTCTCGCAATCAACGAAATGATCTTGTCCACAGCAGTACAGTTGGTCTTTTAGTAGCAAAATTGTATTAATTAATTGTTGAGAAATGTGTACTTCACAATTCGTTTCTTGAAAGTCTTTGTTTGGATATGCAGCTAGCTGACAATGTTTTCCTGTGTTGTTTATTCAGTTGAATTTGGATTCTGGTAAAGTGCTATTTGGTGAGTTTCTTTGGTCCACATTCCTCCTCCACGTTTGATTCAGTTAGTTTTCCATGTACATTTCAATGATCAAGACCTTTAAGGTTTCAGTATGTTTAGTTATCACAAATATCCCATTGGCCATGCTATGGTGCAGTTATGGAATAAAGTGGATCCAGACAGGGGTTTAGGGATGATAAAGAACAAGTGATCCGACACTCCTGATGTCAAATTCCACAGAAGTCTCTCAGGGTGGATCTGTAAATGATTTAAAAGAGTTCCTCACTAATGAAACTTTCAGATACAGGAATCTCAACGCTCTAAGGAAGTTTGTTGTAATTTGCCTTGTCAACATGTTTAGACTTTAAAGTTCATTTCTAGACACGATCTGAATTTTAGATGAGTCAAAGGACAGCATTGTTTTCAGTTGTCAATGGGCCTTCCATATAATTTTCAGTGAGGTAGCCACCACCAATTACACGAAGACCTTGCCTCACTGTTAACATGGCAATATATCCAACAAACAAACAAATACCTCTATATCTGGTGAGGAAGATTTCTTGGAGGATGATCATGTGACTATGAGAAGAGGGCCAAAGTTGTTGTGGTGGTTCACCCTTACCTGTGTTCCATACCTAATGTAGGGGCAAGGTCAAAGTTGTATAGTGTTGTGATCACAAAATTTACAAATTCCTCAAATACAAATCAGTGTTTGTTTTTAGTATTACCAGTATGTTATTGATTACTTCTGTAGTGTGTGAAATAAGGTAAGAAATCATTACACAGCTGTATTTACATTAGACCTACAGGAATGAAGTTAGCCATCAGACAGCACATGTACCACCATCAGGATATCATAATTGTAGGCATCCAAAAGAATTGAATAGTCAGTAATATAAAAGTGTTCATCTACAGGTTCCGTCCTTTACCTTAATTGCTCAGGGCAGAACTTTGTTGAATAAAGAAGTTACCAGCTACTTCAATGAGACCATGACTCAAAGTGACCCTGGCAGTTCATTGGTCAATAAACAAGCAAACAAAGAAAGCAAAATAATATAAATTGAATATTAGAATTAAGATATTCAAATAAAATTTAAGTATAATAATTGAGCTTGTATGAGTATTGCTATTCTTTATCAAATATACATGACTGAAGTAAGCCAGTAAACACACATATGCATGTACAGTATGGCATGGTATGTAAAACAACTATGAATGAAATATCATGACATTTCAATGTTACAATTTTCAAAAAATATATAATATTTAAACTGTTGTAGAAATGGTGTATGCAAAACTAATAAATTGTCTTGACTGTTGTAGAAATGGTGGACGCAAAACTGCCAATAGTTTATCAGAAGCAGCTTACAAGGTTTTCAGGCAATCTGCTACCGATGCATGAAGTAAAGCACAAGTGTAAAGGCTTGGAGCGAGAGTATTTTACCTGCCTCAGTAATTACGGCTTCGATCTCGGACAAGAAAAGTGTCACGCAGAAAAAATCAACTACATGGAATGCAGATACTCAACCAAGGCGGTACGTCTGTTGTTCGGTTTTTGCGTCCTTCCTGCCAAGACACTCGTTTTTGCCGGGAAGACTTTCAATTGTTAAAATGAAACATCTGCTAATTGCTATCAAGGTCTATGTTGTGTAGAAAATTTTACTGCAGGGAACACGTTTTACACTAACTGTAAGCTTGTTTATATAGAAATGACTATCTTATCTATTTGTAGGTAGAAATGAGTGTTGTTTCCTTTTCTATTGTGTGAAGGAATAGATATCAATTCCTTTCTGTCTGTTGTTGAAATGAGTGCCTGTTCCTTCCTGTTTGTACATTTGTATTCAGAAAGAAGTGAAACAAGTATCAGTTCCTTTGTGTTTGTATATAGAAATGAATGTCTGTTCTTTTCTGTTTGCAGAAAAAACGAAGACTTATAATGACAGCCGAGAGATATAAACAAGAAAAGGAGCCCCTCCCTGAAGGTCCTTCCTATATTCATGCTACTCCATATTGGTGAAGTGTGTGACTGTAGATCAATGAGAACTTATTGTACACTCAGCTGTATTCTAGTGAATTGTGTTATCATGTTTAATTGGAACATTGAATGACTTCTTTGTACATGAGTATGTAAGTAAAACAAGAATATATAGACAAAGTTTTTGTTATTGATCAGAAAAATAAAATGGCCAACAGTCAGCCATCTTGGATTTCGTATAGTAAAGTTTGTTATTTCTATTTAGGTATTTCATGGATATCTCTCAAATTTCACTCTACAAACATTTCTATTGTAAGGATCAGGAAATATTGGGCCTTACTCTACAAACATTTCTATTGTAAGGATCAGGAAATATTGGGCCTTACTCTACAAACATTTCTATAGTATAAGGATCAGGAAATATTGGGCCTTACTCTACAAACATTTCTATTGTTAGGATCAGGAAACATTGGGCCTTACTCTACAAACATTTCTATAGTATGGACCAGGAAATATTGGGCCTTACTCTACAAACATTTCTATAGTATAAGGATCAGGAAATATTGGGCCTTACTCTACAAACTTTTCTATAGTATAAGGATCAGGAAATATTGGGCCTTACTCTACAAACATTTCTATAGTAAGGATCAGGAAATATTGGGCCTTATTCTACAAACATTTCTATAGTAAGGATCAGAAAATATTGGGCCTTACTCTACAAACATTTGTATAGTAAGGATCAGGAAACATTGGGCCTTACTCTACAAACATTTGTATAGTAAGTATCAGGAAATATTGGGCCTTACTCTACAAACATTTATATTGTTAGGATCAGGAAATATTGGGCCTTACTCTACAAACATTTCTATAGTATAAGGATCAGGAAATATTGGGCCTTACTCTACAAACATTTATATTGTTAGGATCAGGAAATATTGGGCCTTACTCTACAAACATTTCTATTGTTAGGATCTGGAGGTACTGATGGAAATATTGGGTCTGACTCCAAAAGTATTGCTAATGCCCCAGGTAAAACTGATGTAAATGAACAGTTCGTTGTCATTTTCCAGTTAGAAAAATTCGGATATGGTTCATAGAACTAGAAGAAGGCATGACATTGCTGAAACGTTTTTATTTGTCCAACAAAATGATGATGTGAAAAATAATCAACCTTGAACAATGAGACAAGAAAAAAAGTATATATTCATACATTATCTGTCACACATATAGATATACAATTATCACATGTCCTCTTACTCGTGAATATCCCCTTGTCATACTTTTGCGTAAACACACGTGAAATAGTTTATTGTAACGCATCCTCGATACTCCAAAGATGGCACTAAATACCGTTCTCTCCACCGTTGCTCCATGGTAAAACTGAAGGCACAAGCAAAGTAATTTGATTGGTCTAGAGTTGGTTTGAGGAGAAAAAACTGACCAATCACAGACTGATACGCACGTGTGAAGATTCCACACGAGCGACAACTAAATTCAAAGCCAGTACAACATAACATTATGCGACTTAATGTACATCAAAGGACCAAACTAGTCTTCTCGTTTCTCTACAAGATGACACACACAAAACCTTCAATTTTGCCATGAAATGTTTTACACCCCTGAAGTGTCGACGATGATTTCATTCACAGATGACATTGTGACGTAGCAACCATAGATAGGGGGCAAACATGACTTTAAGTTATTTTCTACCATATTTACTTTAAAAAGTATCATATGTTAAAAAGAATCTTAAAATTCGTTTTCTTTTGATATGTGATTTATGAAACTCACCTAAGACGCGCTTAACTGAAAGATTCTTGTTTCATGAAAGAAGCGTATTTCATAAATTCTCAAAGCATGTTGAAAGTCGTGCAAAATCCTTTATGTAGGAGACACGACAAAAGTAAAATTAGAACCGCCTTGATGCCTGTTCCGAAGAAAGTTTTACTCATCACACATACACTCTGACACCAGAATATTCACACGGGATTATGAAGATAAAATCCTAAGGAGAATTCTGGGTGTTGTACTTAGATACATGCACAAACGAGAGCTTATCTTAGGTCATGGATGGTCGTAGCAATTTTCAATAGTTTTAGCATTATATAAATTGGTCAGTTACTTTTGAAAATCACTAACAGTCAAATTCTACATTGTATAAATGGGAAAAGGTACATTGTAAACAGAAATAATGTTCAACCGAAAGAATGAGTCTCTAGTACATTGTTTCTAGTTTAGTATGAAAGATATTGCGGATAATTTGATGGTCAAAAGCATGAAAAAACTAAGAGTAAAAATGAAAAAAAAAATCTATCAAGCGTTCATACTTCACAACGAATGAGATCACGTTTTGCTCTCTAATGACACTAAAAAAATGACACTATAACAAAAATGAACATCTTTGTTTACAATGAAGTCGGGGATTACGCCTCGCATATATCGCATGTGTATTATTTATACAAAGCGTTTTCAGACTGTGGTACAATACAAAAAAGACGAAATATTCATCACTTCAGTCTTTAACGATGGGTTGCATATCAATTTGTTCTCCTGATAATTCCTGTCTCCGCCGGAAGAAGTATGATATAACAGCCCCAATCACAAGTCCCGGAAGGAATACTCCAAAGGCTACACCAGCCATGGCGCCTGTGAAACAAAAAGTACTAAAATGGAAAATGCAATACTATGAAATGAATTTATTCCGGATTTAACATGAATTGAAAATTTGTTAAACATGACTCAAATGTGATTGGCTAAAATCTTTCTCGAACGTGTTTTTTGCAGTACGGTGTATAGGTTTTATGCACATGTTTGTTAATTTTGTTTAAATTACATGACTATTCAAACATGGATGCTAGAAGGTTTGACTAACCGATCAGAAGATGGAAGTAGTAAACCGTCCAAGACATCATGTATGCGTGTATTGGTTTTCGTTGGGTTTTATTTCAACAAATTTGAATACACAACACTATAAAGTGCTCCATATTAAAGCTGTATAGGTTGTTTCCTAGTGATCGGTTTCGGTCCAGGTATACACCAGAAGGCCTTGAGTAAAACCAACCTCGATATAAAGAATATTGTGCCAAGATAACAACAGAATGTATGAGAGCTGAAGGACTGTTACCTGCGCTATATCCGGTGTTTACATTAGCCCCGCTGGAGGTCTGAGAGGACTCTGTGTTAACATGCAAACCAGTGGTAGAGGTGGAAGTATGAGTGGGCACTGTGTTAACATGTAAACCAGCGGAAGACATATGAGGGGACCTTGTGGTAACAGGCTGAACAGGTCCTGGGTTAGGGGTGTATTTCTCTGTAAACGAAAAAATAGACAGATTCTCATAGGCATGGAAATTGAGGTTGATAAACTATGATGGATGTGCATGAACACGATAAATACCGAGATATCATCAAAATCTATATTCATATTCAAAATGGATGCAACGAAGACAAAATACGACCAAAGAAAGATTTACACGGAGACCTTTGAAAAGGTTTATTAAGCATAAGACAATGTGTTCGGAAAAATCAGCGTCTTCTGTTTTATCTACGATATCAGCCGAGTAAATCTCCAGTAGTTCAATAAATAATGTCACGTTTTCCAAGTAAGAGCATGGAAAACATTAATGAAGTCACCAGTAATAACAAAGGACAGAGCTCATTTCAAATGACATCAGGAAATGGATTATACTGTCAATGAGACCAGGGGGACGACTATAGAACGACTCTATGATAAAGCATAAAACACTCATGTCGAGTTATTAATACTGAGGTGGTAGGACTGGTTTATAGTGTAAAGTAAAGAATCGAGAACACCTGTGAGGTGTACATCTTTGACTGAATTTGAATGGGATTACTTCTTGTCAAGGGTACATGTTTGATCATAATGGCGGTACCTACTTATGTAAAGATCGCACACGTCCTGTCTCACTTGGACTCCCTTCTGAAGAGGATGGTTACTGGTCAGTCTACACAGAGAGGTGGTGTTACAGAAAGCAAAACTTTGGCAATTAGACGCCTCTGTCGTCACACAAAGCTTTGCACAATTGTCCACCGTCACGTCAGTGTAGTCTAGTGAGTGACCAAAGGTCATGGTGGACCGAGACTTCTTCTGGAAATCGTCTAGATAATTTCCTGGAAATAATATAATATTAAAACGTAATTGTGTAGTACAGTGTCTTATCAAACATCACAGTGAACCGAGACGTCTTCTGGGAAAAGTTTAGTTTTCCTGAAAATATACAATATTGATCAAACCAACCTGGTATCTTCTTTGTTGTTTCCCCAAAAATACAAAATAAAGAAATGTTACTGTAAATACGACTTGAAAGGTCACGGGCCAACAGGGTATTGTGTATATCTAAAATGATTGAAAAGATAGAATAAACAGTTGACAGTAAAGCGGAGTGCAACAGCAAAACAACAACGTCAACACTCAAAGGTGTAACCGCCAGTCCATAACCAAGATAAAAATGAAACCGGAAGGGGCGGAAACTGAAATCCTTTGATCAATTTTGGCAAAAAAAATCTGAAAGACTAAATATTGTTTCGTTGAAACGTAAATAATGTTATCATATAATCTTAATATAAAACACTTTGTAGGATACAAAGACCGTACTAAATTGATTCGAATATGAAATACTGCCAAGACTTACTGGTGTAAAATGAGCAAATAGGATTGGAAACTAGAGAGTTGCTAGGGAAATCCAATTGATGTTTCTTCATCAGAAGGCAGCTCCTGGTGTTGGAACAGTATTCGAATGACTTGCAGGGGAAAGCTTCGTATTGCGAACATTGTTTTGCACACAAATTGTCCGAATTGATCCCGTCTGTCTCTTTATCCGCCGGAACAGGAATGACCATACCTGGACTGGGGGTGTATCTGTCCAGATAGGTACCTTCAAAGTAAAAAGATAATGTTTGAGATAATATTTCATCGTTATATCCGGATAGATCGATGGATATCTTATGTATTTAATAATTCAAATTCATTGATTTATTAATAAAATGTCAGTTTTATTTTCTTTAAAACTAATTAACATGTAACAAAAAAGGCAATTTGCTATTTTACAGATGTCAGGTAAAAGCCAAACCCGTATACGCGTTTATTATGACCTGTCAGCTGAGCCAGAAGATAGGCTACGTACGGGAGTATAAATCACAGAAATCGTGAGGAGACAGAGATGTCGGTTGAGCGTCCGGATGCACTTTATACAACAGACAGTCTCCAGTCTTGTAGCAGAAATCAAAGGACAGACAGTCATATGTCATCTCTGTAAGGCAAGCATCAGCACATTCGTCCACCGAAATCCCAGCCACATAATCTGTATGTTTCACTGCCAGGATGTTGTTCTTTGCTACGTTGAAGTGACCTAGGACCTGACCTGAGACAACAACAGGTAATATATACCGATATGGTTACAGAACCTTAATACAAACTTAGATTCAATAAAATCAATACAAATTTTCTGATTCTGATAGAGATTGTTAAAGTACACAGTTGTTCGACCGAAACCTGGCACCAGTATAAGAAGCAATTGTAACAGTTTTTAAACTAAAATATCTATAAACTTCAAGGATGATACATTTAAAACCCGTGAAACGACCACTGACTTGATGTCAGATGTCTGATCAAATAACAGTGAAATGACACTGACTTGATGTCAGATGTCTGATCAAATAACAGTGAAATGACACTTACTTGATGTCAGATGTCTGATCAAATAACAGTGAAATGACACTTACTTGATGTCAGATGTCTGATCAAATAACAGTGAAATGACACTTTCTTGATGTCAGATGTCTGATCAAATAACAGTGAAATGACACTTACTTGATGTCGGATCCCTATTTGCCCTTATTAAGTTGTCCCTGATTTTGTCAGCAATGTATATCGTTGTCTACAACAAAAACCGTGATTAAATACATGGAATTTATCTATTTGACGTACAGTAATGAAAAATGTTAACCCAAGTTATTGACAGAATATATATGATGTTCAAACTTTGTGGATTAAATCACACTTACGTTATCGCCGACCAGTACAGGGATCTGGAATGACCCTTTGTACACAGCGTCATTCAGCTTCATCATAACGACATCTAAACTTGGCTGCACCATATCAGTGCTATTCACAGTACCTTAATGTAAAAACATTATATATATTATATATGTTGGAATATATTGTACTTGAGGAAATATGTTGTTCTTTGTCTGTTAATGCATTTACCCACCAATTGCTAGATATGTTTGATAAACATTTCAGATCTTCAAAAAAATATATATATTGGCAATTCCTCTTGTAATACTAACGCGAGAAGTGATCACAGATTGTGCTTGACGTGAGAAGAGGGCCGTCGTCTATATGCTCTTTGCTAAGAAGACAGGTAGATGTGGCGCTGCAGTAGTCAAAGCTCTCACAGGGGAAATTACTCTCTGCTCGGCACATAGTTGCGCAGTCGCTCTCGGACTTGACTTGTGTATAAGTGGCATCGCTTCTATGTGGATTAGATTTTGACGAGGTTTTTGTAAAGTCAACTGAAATACATGACAGAACTTTGAATGATTACCATTGGCGATGTTTGCTTCTCCACAGTGATGTTCATTAAAATATCTTTAATTATAAGGTACTAAGTTAACAACTCCTGGAGAAAAAATGAATTTATGTGAATCACAGCTATGTTGACTGTTTCTAGGATAAGGTAGCCAAGTGGTCATTAGAAGGAGCTATGTTGACTGTTTCTAGGATAAGGTAGCCAAGTGGCCATTAGAAGGAGATATGTTGACTGTTTGTAGGATATGGTAGCCAAGTGGACATTAGAAGGAGCTATGTTCACTGTTTGTAAGATATGGTAGCCAAGTGGTCATTAGAAGGAGCTATGTTGATTGTTTCTAGGATAAGGTAGCCAAGTGGTCATTAGAAGGAGCTATGTTGACTGTTTGTAGGATATGGTAGCCATGATGACATTAGAAGGAGATATGTTGACTGTTTCTTGGATGCCTAGTTGCCATTAGAAGGAGCTATGTTGACTGTTTGTAGGATATGGTAGCCAAGTGACCATTAGAAGGAGCTATGTTGACAGTTTGTAGGATATGGTAGCCAAGTGGACATTAGAAGGAGCTATGTTGACAGTTTCTAGGATAAGGTAGCCAAGTGGCCATTAGAAGGAGCTATGTTGACTGTTTGTAGGATATGGTAGCCAAGTGACCATTAGAAGGAGCTATGTTGACTGTTTGTAGGATATGGTAGCCAAGTGGACATTAGAAGGAGCTATGTTGACAGTTTCTAGGATAAGGTAGCCAAGTGGCCATTAGAAGGAGCTATGTTGATTGTTTGTAGGATATGGTAGCCACGTGGACATTAGAAGGAGCTATGTTGACTGTTTCTTGGATGCCTAGTTGCCATTAGAAGGAGCTATGTTGACTGTTTGTAGGATATGGTAGCCAAGTGACCATTAGAAGGAGCTATGTTGACTGTTTGTAGGATATGGTAGCCAAGTGGTCATTAGAAGGAGTTATGTTGACTGTTTGTAGGATATGGTAGCCAAGTGGTCATTAGAAGGAGCTATGTTGACTGTTTCTAGGATAAGGTAGCCACGTGGACCTTAGAAGGAACTATGTTGGCTGTTTGTAGGATATTAGGATATGGTAGCCACGATGACATTAGAAGGAGCTATGTTGACTGTTTATTGGATGCCTAGTTGCCATTAGAAGGAGCTATGTTGACTGTTTGTAGGATATGGTAGCCACGATGACATTAGAAGGAGCCATGTTGACTGTTTCTTGAATGCCTAGTTGCCATTAGGAGGAGCTATGTTGACTGTTTGTAGGATATGGTAGCCAAGTGGTCATTAGAAGGAGCTATGTTGACTGTTTGTAGGATATGGTAGCCAAGTGACCATTAGAAGGAGCTATGTTGACTGTTTGTAGGATATGGTAGCCAAGTGGACATTAGAAGGAGCTATGTTGACTGTTTGTAGGATATGGTAGCCAAGTGGACATTAGAAGGAGCTATGTTGACTTTTTCTAGAATAAGGTAGCCACGTGGACATTAGAAGGAGCTATGTTGACTATTTGTAGGATAAGGTAGCCAAGTGGACATTAGAAGGAACTATGTTGACTGTTTGTAGGACAAGGTAGCCACGTGGACATTAGAAATAACTATATTGCCAACTGTTTGTAGGAAGTTTACACAACGTTCACTGTGAAATGCGTTCTGTTGTTTCTGTTTACCAATAAAAGGAGCCACGTTGACAACAGTTCCTATAAGATAGATGTAATTTGTATCATAAGTCAGTTCTGTCCGTTGGAAACGAATGGGCGATGCCATCGAGGCTTCTGCTAGCTGGATCTGTGCTGTCTTCAGGAAAACCTTTGCATTATCATCCAGAGTAGGATGATATGAACCTGCAATACAAAGCGTAACATATCTTAAAACATACCAGGTAGATAATTCCATTTTCCTTCTCAAACACAGCGTTTTTACACTGGAAGCATACTATTCCTTCCCTTAAATTTCTCTTCATTTTTCACAAGATTACAAGCAAGTGTGCGTCACACATATACAGTCCTACCTGGAAATCTAATTAAGAACTCGCGTTTGCCTGCTCCGTCGAAGCAGGGTGTGATGTCAAAGTTGGTGAGGTCAGGATCTTGTAAGTTAAAGTCGAAGAAATTGTAGGTTAGAAACAAACCAATCTGTATAGAGAAAGTAAATTATACATATTATTCCTACACTTATCATCTGCAAAGATAAAACAGAAAAAAATTCACGGCTGATTTCTGAGATGTTCTTCACTATCAGCTAGATGTAACTTCCCCACTCGATCAAAGATCATTATCAGTCGTGACTATCAGATATATGATAATTTGTTGAATTATGAAACTAGTGCATTTCCCACTCTAAATTTGAACATTTCTTTCGATCACTGTAGAATTTCCTAAGTCGCTGCCTATGTATAAAACTTATCATCTTATCATCACTGATGTGTCCTCGAAGGATGAAACAACTGTATGATGCAGTTAGGTTCAGTGTTGGACTCTGTACTGTATCTCATCCAATGTGTTATTAATTGATGTGTCCTTTGTACAACTTTTTATCTATCTAATTTTGATATCATTGTAACCTCATCTCCAACACTCTTACCTCCTCTGACGAGACATCCATTCGTATGGGCTGTGACTGTACAGGAATGCTGCTACCAGATGGTGTGGTCTTCCAAACGTCCTGTGGCACACAAAATCATCCCAAATTGTGAAGAATCCAATCAAAACTCAACACAGAAAAGTATCAAATGCCAACAAAAACGTGAAAATAACACTAAGGACATTATAAAATTACAAACTAATCATTGATTTAAACATATTTTTACTATCAGTATTAGATAAATGGATCAGAGACAAGTTCTAGCAACTTATGAACTCTTCTCCCCATAAATGAAATTACAAATAATTAATATACTGCACGTGACATATATTTATACTATAAATAATCATTGGTGTTACGCCTTGTAGATCTAGGTTCCGTAGCATCACCAAAGAGATAGAAAAATATACATTAAAACAAAGAGACAATTTTGCATTATTCGCATTTAGTATAATATATATATTTGCATGTCTTAATACTCGAATACCATACGGAATTGATATACTAAGTACAAAAAGTTAGAGATCACTTGTTAAAGATGAATTTATTTGTATCAAAAGGTAAAAACTTCCAGAATATGAAATACAAGAGTGGATCAAACAACAGGGAAGCAATTTTGACCTCCTTTGATTCAATTTCATTCAAGCGTTTCGATGAAGTAACAATGGCGCTGAAAATTCAAAATTCTTCAGTGGGTTCAGCAACACTATCAATAGTGAGTGTGTCCTCCGTTTGCCCCAATAACGGCACGACATCGGCTTGGCATGCTAAGAATCAGGTGCTAGATAGTCATTTGTGGAATTTGTGGCAATTCTAAATTAGCATCAGCAAGCTCCTGTCACGTACAAGTCAGTCCGTCCATGATTCCTGTCCAAACCATTACCGAGTCCCACCGAAACGGACATGCTCAGCGACGCAGCAGTCAGCACACTCAAGCCGAAGACGTCTCCTGTCAGCATGAAAGTCCACAAAAACCTGAACTCATCCGTAGAAAGAATAGACCAGTCGCCAATTCACATTGTCAGCTGCCCAATGCTGCCGAGCTATACGGTGACGGTGTGTGAGTAGAGGGCGTACAACGATGTTTGTGAGCCCATAATGCAGAGTTGTGAAGTCTATTTCTCCTTGTTTGTGCAGAAAATCTTCCAGTTGCCTGACCTTATTCAACCTAATTCAAACCAATTTTTCCAAGTAAGAATGCTGAAATAACAATCCTGACGGACTCTAGTACACCGTGGTCTACCCGATCAAGGTGTCTCGGTAACGTCTCCTGTCATCTGGAATCGATTCCATAATCGAGAAATGACACTCTGTGGCACATTGAAGTGTACAGCTTACATCATCCCGACAGTTCGGCCAGCCTCTGCCTTGCCGCGTGTTTACGTTAGGTTTTAGGTTGCACGGAAAGATCGTTACCGAACAGGTATTGTACATATACATTGTCAATAAAACAGTGGTCAAGATGGCAGAAAAAATCACATATATTCACGATCCTCAACTTTTTGTGTCCAGTATGTTTCCTTGCTATAATAGTCACTTCGTACATAATTGTTAATTTAACATTTACCCAAAAAATCATTACAAAATAAGATAATACATTACTTGTTGGAATGTTTGGTTACGGGTTTACCGCCTATACATTCAACATTTTGCTATGTTTATTTCACCAGTGAGAAGGAAATCGTGATAAAGAACCGCCAATTTTCATTTGTTGCTGGGTATTGTGAGCATACAGTTTGACTATCTACCGAAACAGATTCATCGAATGTTTGACATCCCACAAACTCCCACTATGCTGCTACGTATCACCAGATATCAGATATATATCATAGGATTTATGTTTAATTATCTATAAATTTGTATTTTTTGAAAAACTTAAATGAAATGTCCAATGCATATTTCAACTATGTTAATAAGATAAGATATATATTCTATAAAACAATTGGAGTTACCTCCCCTTGACTATTTTAACCCATTGGATTGATTAATGCAGAATATGTATTGTATCAATTGTATAATTTGGAAAGGACTTACAAAGACGTAGCATCTTGTCTGATCATATTAAAATGTGAAAAGTTAATAAAATTTGTTGAAATTGGAATTACTATGCGATATACATACATAGGCAAAGTAGAACTGAAGACGACTTGTGAACTTTGCAGACACGCCTTGTAGCCGGAATTCCTCTGTAATTGTCTCAAAAACTATACACAGAATCCCTCGGATAGTTTTCTGAATAAAATCACGAGAGAATCAGAAATATATATATCAGATCGAAATACATCTGCAGAAAAATATATACAATTTGCTCGTATTGGATATAAAACTCACAAATTTTAAAACGCTTAGTACAGAATAAAACATTGAATATGTCAAAGGAAACAAACTATGACTTTTTCAAATGACAATAGAAAATCCCATTGTTCATTAATTAAGACTCTGTTAATTTTGATGCATCACAATATTTACCTGTCCAGTATATTTATAGACGTTGTCGACATCAAAGAATTCTAAAGGGTTCTTCATTTGAACGACATAAGCGCCGTTTTTGAGAGCATCTCTCCTATTGGGGTCGGAATCAAAGGTGTTGTTAAGGACGGGTGTAATACTGCAGTTTCCAAAAGTCTTATCAATAGTGTAAGATAACCCTGTAAAACATACAGATATCCAAGCATTAAAAAATTGGCATTAGTATTAGCGAAAGGCATCGCTATCCATGTTACATACTCTTTAAAGATTGCACAAGTTAATTACACCTTACGACACAAAGATTGTAACAGACACAAGTGGATTACATCTGACTACACAAAGATTGTAACAGACACAAGTGGATTACACCTGACTACACAAAGATTGTAACAGACACAAGTGGATTACACCTGACTACACCAAGATTGTAACAGACACAAGTGGATCACACCTGACTACACAAAGATTGTAACAGACACAAGTGGATTACACCTGACTACACAAAGATCGTAACAGACACAAGTGGATTACACCTGACTACACAAAGATTGTAACAGACACAAGTGGATTACACCTGACTACACAAAGATCGTAACAGACACAAGTGGATTACACCTGACTACACAAAGATCGTAACAGACACAAGTGGATTACACCTGACTACACAAAGATTGTAACAGACACAAGTGGATTACACCTGACTACACAAAGATCGTAACAGACACAAGTGGATTACACCTGACTACACAAAGATCGTAACAGACACAAGTGGATTACACCTGACTACACAAAGATCGTAACAGACACAAGTGGATTACACCTGACCAAGTTAATTATATCTTACAACACAAAGTTGATAATAATTGGATAATATTTGGGTAATAGTCGGGTATTAGTAGGGTAATAGCTGGGTATTTGTTTCACGAGTCTGAAGAAATATTCTCACCTGTGTTGAAATCGTTTATATATGACATCGGATTCCCCGTGTTAAATTTGCCGCCTGGTGGTGACGTAGCCATGTCATACCGCACAAGTTTGTATGTATAGTCGTACCAGATCTGTATCAACAGTTGAGTAAGAAACATCGGATAACCTATCGTCTTAGAGCATATCTAGTACTACAGTATAGAGAGACATCGAACGTAGCTTGTCAGCTAATCATAATCCTAACTCAAATTCCATAAAACATCTAAGTACACATTTAAAACTTCAATCCTGACAGACATATTACTTTTGAAATAAATTTGACCCTCTCCCCCATCCTACACACACATACCAAAAGCACACACATTCACACACATACTCACACTCACACACATCCACACACACACACACATCCACACACACACACACACATACAGAATGGGGATAATGTGTTACGTACATGTGCCTCATATGCCATCTGAACATCAGGTACAACGATTTCCAGCAAATAGGAAAATTGGCTATCTATAGCCGGGAATGGATCTGGTGATAACCAGCCTGAGAAAGTAGAACGAAACGATATGAAAGGCAGATATTGTAAGTTTTTTTATCAATTTCAACCGTTCTAAAATGTTTATGGTTTTAATCGTCTTATCAACAACATGACTTCAAATGAAAGTTTAACATTTCGATTTTCTTTCTCTTTAAAATGTTGTTCCATTCCGATTGGCATACATTTTCTTTATAAATGGTATAAACCTTGTAGACAACTTTATAGCTCTTTAGTGATGTAGATATAAGAAGGGACTTACCAAAGAGGATTTCAATATCTACTGCATCGTAATATGTAGTCTGTAAATTAAAAGAGAACCAATTTAAAAAACAACATCCACACTGTTATGATATCAAGGATGCATGAAACTCAGAAGCCTAAAAATCGGAACATTCAAATTATGTTCTGGTGACGATGAATGTTGAAATGGTAGAATGTAATTTATAAGGAAACAATATGTCGATGCAACTCTTTAATCGCAACAGGCATTAGAGTTTGAAAATTTGTTTAAATCCTTTGTGATGTATTGTAATTTTCACTCAAATGACTTTTTTTTTCAAAAAACCAGAGACGGACTAAAATATTTATATCTGTGTCCTAAAAAATTAAGAAAAGTGATTCACCAAATCACCATTCGCGTATTTCTAATCTATGATTTGTGTTGTTAGTTCATGCAAAATTTCTGTCTAAAAACTTGAAATTTATGCATAAGAGAACTACCCTAGTAACGGAAAAACCATGTTGCTATCCGCCATTAGCTTAAAACTGGAAATTCCACTTACTTGACACAAATTCATGACTGATAGAATGTGTCATTTTTTAAAGTATTAGACAGATTTCAATTAGATCGATTATCACCACAAAACACAGATTTCAAAATTGTGCATTTCGACTTTGTGGAATACTTTCATAACTTCTTTTTTTAATATCTGACATATCGTTCAGGTTGATTTTAATATTTGACGGTGGTTAAATGTCGATTCATCATTTCGATATATAAGTGGTTGATGAACGAAAAGTCAATTTGAAATAAAATAGACACGTCGATATTCAGATTAAACTGGTTTCGCCACACCAAGATACTCACCGTCATGTCTGCCTCGTAAGCTGGTACTTGAAGCATGTTGTTGTACACGGCTTGACGGAGATTGGTGTATGCTTGGTAAACATCAATCTCCCTGACTAACGGACCGTTCACTGTTCCTGTCAACATGATTGTGTGTGTTTATCATTTTTCAAATATTTTTGGTAGTACTAGTAACCTCTTTGCTACATCATACCTTTGTGTTACAATTATCTATATCTCGTGACGGGAATTATAAAAAAAATAACATGTTTGAGAATTAATGATGCTAAACGGAACAAATTTTACTTTGGTTAAAAACGTATATAATGACGTAAATTAAAATTTCTAGCAGCATAATAAGGACACTCATATCACCGATGGATTGAGGACACTCATATCACCGCTGGAATAAGGACACTCATATCACCGATGGATTGAGGACACTCATATCACCGCTGGATTGAGGACACTCATATCACCGATGGAATAAGGACACTCATATCACCGCTGGAATAAGGACACTCATATCACCGCTGGAATAAGGACACTCATATCACCGATGGATTGAGGACACTCATATAACCGCTGGAATAAGGACACTCATTTCACCGATGGATTGAGGACACTCATATCACCGCTGGAATAAGGACACTCATATCACCGATGGATTGAGGACACTCATATCACCGCTGGATTGAGGACACTCATATCACCGATGGAATAAGGACACTCATATCACCGCTGGAATAAGGACACTCATATCACCGCTGGAATAAGGACACTCATATCACCGCTGGAATAAGGACACTCATATCACCGATGGAATAAGGACACTCATATCACCGATGGAATGAGGACATTCATATCAACGCTGGAATGAGGACACTCACATCACCGATGGAATGAGGACACTCACATCACCGCTTGAATGAAGACACTCACATCAACGATGGAATGAGGACACTCATATCACCGATGGAATGAGGACACTCATATCACCGCTGGAATGAGGACACTCATATCACCGATGGAATAAGGACACTCATATCACCGATGGAATAAGGACACTCACATCACCGATGGAATGAGGACACTCACATCAACGATGGAATGAGGACACTCACATCACCGATGGAATGAGGACACTCACATCAACGATGGAATGAGGACACTCACATCAACGATGGAATGAGGACACTCACATCAACGATGGAATGAGGACAATCATATCACCGCTGGAATGAGGACACTCATATCACCGCTGGAATGAGGACACTCATATCACCGATGGAATGAGGACACTCATATCAACGATGGAATGAGGACACTCATATCACCGATGGAATGAGGACACTCATATCACCGATGGAATAAGGACACTCATATCACCGATTGAATAAGGACACTCATATCACCGACGGCAGTGTAAATAAAGGGTATATTTATCTACACACTCAAATATTTTCTGTCAGTTGTTGGGAGCAGAACATCTTATCACAGACAGAAGTACCGTATCTAGCAGTTGTTTTCATCTTCGTCATTTTAATGGCTTTTATTCAATCTATAAAGATATTGTTTCTGTAACGGGGGTTAAATATAACTGATGTATTGTTTCTTATGACAATTTTTCCGTTTGACGAAATAGATAAAATCGTTGGGAAACATCCTTTATATTTTCAATTTGGGGTGGGGGGGTGGGGGTGGGGGTTGACAAAACAATGAAATATGTTTATTAATTCTGATTGTAGTTGATATGACTATTTCACATACTGGAGTAGTGATCGCACGTGCTCTCGTGCAAGACGGATCCATCCCCGATATGTCGTCTGCTGAGACGACAGTTGTTGTCCTGGTCACCACTACACCACTCGTAACTATTACAGACGAAGTCGACACTCTCTATACAGTACCGGGCACAGTCCTTTACATTGCCCACGTATCCGTAAGTCTGGTCCCCTACCTGTTCTATAGATTTCCTCGACACCAAAGTAAACTGCGCTGTAAAAAGATTAACAATGGTAATTGAAGTAACCATAACCATCACTATCTACACAATGGTAAAAGAGTGAACCACCACTATCTACACATTGGTTAAAGAGTGAACCACCATTGTCTACACAATGGTTAAAGGGTAAACCACCACTATCTACACGATGGTTAAAGAGTGAGCCACCACTATCTACACAATGGTTAAAGAGTGAACCCCCACTATCTACACAATGGTTAAAGAGTGAACCACCACTATCTACACAATGGTTAAATAGTGAACCCCCACTATCTACACAATGGTTAAAGAGTGAACCACCACTATCTACACAATGGTTAAAGAGTGAACCACCACTATCTACACAATGGTTAAAGAGTGAACCACCACTATCTACACAATGGTTAAAGAGTGAACCACCACTGTCTACACAATGGTTATATAGTGAACCACCACTATTTACACAATGGTTAAAGAGTGAACCACCACTATCTACACAATGGTTAAAGAGTGAACCACTACTATCTACACAATGGTTAAAGAGTGAACCACCACTATCTACACAATGATGAGTTGTTAACCAGATAGAAGTACATGGCTTTTCATTTTTCAACCAAGAAAAATAGATGAAATATCTAACATGTCTTAGTTTTATATAAAAAAAAAGTCCCGGTTTTATTGTGGTTCTGGTTTACATAAGAGGATATTTGACGAGTTTGCTTTCTTTGCGTTTCATATTTCATTATCATTTGAGAAAACAGATCACGTTAATTTTCATCATTTAATTGATGAAAATAATGATACCTATTCAAAGTGCTTCTGTTTATTTTTGTTGATAATATGACTGGAACATGGTAATACTTACAAGATGGCGGTGACCTGTCCAGGAGAGTAGCGATGACGTAAACATTGGAGTAATCATACTGCAGCTGAACATTCTGTATTCGGATATTCGACACGTTCGCATTCAGAACAAACGCACTTTGAGCTCCTTGTTTAATTTGCAGATTTGTGTAAGGCGAATAGGAGCCTGAAAAAGTCAAAATTATTGAAAGAAGAAGAAAAAACGAAAAGGTAATATCACTTGGTTCTGTTCGCTCTGAATCTTGTCGACAGACATTTTGTAATATTTTTTCCTTAAAAATAACAAGACGTTATATCATATCTGGACATCTAAGCAACTGTCCTATTTTCAATCGGATGTCATAAAAATATATTTTATCACCAAACGTTTTCATTGTGGATATTTTTTCAGTCGGATATCACATAAATGTATTATATTACACAATGGTTTCATTGCAGATTTTTCACTACGCTGGATTACAAACTGCCAGGTATGAGTTTCGTTTCGGCGTAACGTAGTTAGTCTTTGAGCCCTCCAGTTTTCCAAAAGCAAGATTTAGAATTGATTTCAGTGTTATTTTGGTTTATCTAGATTCTTATTTCCAAATGAATATGAGAAGTAATTCAAACTATTCAGCAATCCACATGACAAAAATTTGATTAAACATTCATCCTCAGGCAATACCATTCACCTTCAGGCAATAATATTCACCTTCAGATAAGAACATTCATTTCCAGGCATTGATATTCACCTTCAGGCAATAACATTCAACCTTCAGGCACTAACATTCACCTTCAGGCAATAACAAACGAGTCCTTTTTAGGATAAACATAACTAAATCAAGAAAATATTATTCCCGATTACAAAGAGTACAAAAAGAATCATATTTCAAAAGCATATATTAAAGATTCAATCCTTCTGGATATTTTACATCACGTCGTCTGAGAGTTATGCCCTACCTGGAAACCTAACCTTGAACTGGAGACTGGACTGGTTAGAATAACATGACGTCACATCAAACACGGACATGTCCGGATGACCATTGTCAAAATCAAGGATATTGTAGATGACCGACATGTCTCCAAACTATTCACCGAAAAAGCATGAATTTTATAAGTTTTGTAATTCATAAAATATACGATCGTTGATTATAAATATATTATGCTTTATATGTTAAAAATACCATAAAACAATAAATATTTTATTTGATATTTTCTGAATTACAAAATCAATAGATATATATGCAGTATTTACATCACACTTTAAAATATCAACATCAGATAATAACGAAACCATCAAATAATAACGAAAACATCAGATAATAACGAAAACATCAGATAATAACGAAAACATCAAATAATAACGAAAACATCAGATAATAACGAAAACATCAGATAATAACGAATGCATGAAATAATAACGAAAAAACCATCAGATAATAACGAAAACATCAGATAATAACGAAAACATCAGATAATAACGAAAACATCAGATAATAACGAAAACCATCAAATAATAACGAAAACCATCAAATAATAACGAAAACATCAGATAATAACGAAAACCATCAAATAATAACGAAAACATCAAATAATAACGAAAACCATCAAATAATAACGAAAACATCAAATAATAACGAAAACATCAGATAATAACGAAAACATCAGATAATAACGAAAACCATCAGATAATAACGAAAACATCAGATAATAACGAAAACCATCAGATAATAACGAAAACATCAGATAATAACGAAAACATCAAATAATAACGAAAACATCAGATAATAACGAAAACCATCAAATAATAACGAAAACATCAAATAATAACGAAAACCATCAAATAATAACGAAAACATCAAATAATAACGAAAACATCAGATAATAACGAAAACATCAGATAATAACGAAAACCATCAGATAATAACGAAAACATCAGATAATAACGAAAACCATCAGATAATAACGAAAACATCAGATAATAACGAAAACATCAGATAATAACGAAAACATCAGATAATAACGAAAACCATCAGATAATAACGAAAACAATAACGAAAACATCAGATAATAACGAAAACCATCAGATAATAACGAAAACCATCAGATAATAACGAAAACATCAGATAATAACGAAAACATCAGATAATAACGAAAACATCAGATAATAACGAAAACCATCAGATAATAACGAAAACCATCAGATAATAACGAAAACATCAGATAATAACGAAAACCATCAGATAATAACGAAAACATCAGATAATAACGAAAACCATCAGATAATAACGAAAACATCAGATAATAACGAAAACATCAGATAATAACGAAAACATCAGATAATAACGAAAACCATCAGATAATAACGAAAACAATAACGAAAACATCAGATAATAACGAAAACCATCAGATAATAACGAAAACCATCAGATAATAACGAAAACATCAGATAATAACGAAAACATCAGATAATAACGAAAACATCAGATAATAACGAAAACCATCAGATAATAACGAAAACCATCAGATAATAACGAAAACATCAGATAATAACGAAAACCATCAGATAATAACGAAAACATCAAATAATAACGAAAACCATCAGATAATAACGAAAACATCAGATAATAACGAAAACATCAGATAATAACGAAAACCATCAAATAATAACGAAAACATCAGATAATAACGAAAACATCAAATAATAACGAAAACCATCAGATAATAACGAAAACACCGGGGTTTTTTATACTTTTAAAAAATAAAAACGATTTACTATATATCATTTATATAAATTCTTTAATAAAATAATTGTAGGTGCTAAGAGTTTAATACTTAATCAAATACAAAATTAATGGTAAATAATTTATATATACAAAATGAAAAAAAGATAACTACTGTGTGTTTAAATAACACGATAAAAAAGATAACTACTGTGTGTTTAAATCACACGATAAAAAAGATAACTACTGTGTGTTTAAATAACACGATAACAAAGATAACTACTGTGTGTTTAAATAACACGATAAAAAAGATAACTACTGTGTGTTTAAATAACACGATAAAAAAGATAACTACTGTGTGTTTAAATAACACGATAACAAAGATAACTACTGTGTGTTTAAATAACACGATAACAAAGATAACTACTGTGTGTTTAAATAACACGATAAAAAGATAACTACTGTGTGTTTAAATAACACGATGAAAAGATCAATGTTTAAATCGCTGAGGGAATCTCTCAAAAGTTACTTACGGACGTCAAGTAGATTATTAACATATATGGAATGTCAGCAGGGTTGGTACTACCATCATCAGGATGTTCTGTATATATTTTCTGTCAACATAATAAAAATACTACTATGACCATCATCAGCATGTTCTGTATATATATCCTGTAAACATCTAAACATCGGTACTACCATCATCAGCATGTTCTGTATACATATCCTGTAAACATCTAAACATCGGTACTACCATCATCAGCATGTTCTGTATATATATCCTGTAAACATCTAAACATCGGTACTACCATCATCAGCATGTTCTGTATACATATCCTGTAAACATCTAAACATCGGTACTACCATCATCAGCATGTTCTGTATACATATCCTGTAAACATCGGTACTACCATCATCAGCATGTTCTGTATATATATCCTGTAAACATCTAAACATCGGTACTACCATCATCAGCATGTTCTGTATACATATCCTGTAAACATCGGTACTACCATCATCAGCATGTTCTGTATACATATCCTGTAAACATCGGTACTACCATCATCAGCATGTTCTGTATACATATCCTGTAAACATCGGTACTACCATCATCAGCATGTTCTGTATACATATCCTGTAAACATCGGTACTACCATCATCAACATGTTCTGTATACATATCCTGTAAACATCGGTACTACCATCATCAACATGTTCTGTATACATATCCTGTAAACATCGGTACTACCATCATCAGCATGTTCTGTATACATATCCTGTAAACATCTAAACATCGGTACTACCATCATCAGGATGTTCTGTATACATATCCTGTAAACATCGGTACTACCATCATCAGCATGTTCTGTATACATATCCTGTAAACATCTAAACATCGGTACTACCATCATCAGCATGTTCTGTATACATATCCTGTAAACATCGGTACTACCATCATCAGCATGTTCTGTATACATATCCTGTAAACATCGGTACTACCATCATCAGGATGTTCTGTATACATATCCTGTAAACATCGGTACTACCATCATCAGCATGTTCTGTAAACATCGGTACTACCATCATCAGCATGTTCTGTATACATATCCTGTAAACATCGGTACTACCATCATCAGCATGTTCTGTATACATATCCTGTAAACATCGGTACTACCATCATCAGCATGTTCTGTAAACATCGGTACTACCATCATCAGCATGTTCTGTATACATATCCTGTAAACATCTAAACATCGGTACTACCATCATCAGCATGTTCTGTATACATATCCTGTAAACATCGGTACTACCATCATCAGCATGTTCTGTATACATATCCTGTAAACATCGGTACTACCATCATCAGCATGTTCTGTAAACATCGGTACTACCATCATCAGCATGTTCTGTATACATATCCTGTAAACATCGGTACTACCATCATCAGCATGTTCTGTATACATATCCTGTAAACATCTAAACATCGGTACTACCATCATCAGCATGTTCTGTATACATATCCTGTAAACATCGGTACTACCATCATCAGCATGTTCTGTATACATATCCTGTAAACATCGGTACTACCATCATCAGCATGTTCTGTATACATATCCTGTAAACATCGGTACTACCATCATCAACATGTTTTGTATACATATCCTGTAAACATCGGTACTACCATCATCAGGATGTTCTGTATACATATCCTGTAAACATCGGTACTACCATCATCAGCATGTTCTGTATACATATCCTGTAAACATCGGTACTACCATCATCAGCATGTTCTGTATACATATCCTGTAAACATCGGTACTACCATCATCAGCATGTTCTGTATACATATCCTGTAAACATCGGTACTACCATCATCAGCATGTTCTGTAAACATCGGTACTACCATCATCAGCATGTTCTGTATACATATCCTGTAAACATCGGTACTACCATCATCAGCATGTTCTGTATACATATCCTGTAAACATCGGTACTACCATCATCAGCATGTTCTGTATACATATCCTGTAAACATCGGTACTACCATCATCAGCATGTTCTGTATACATATCCTGTAAACATCGGTACTACCATCATCAGCATGTTCTGTATACATATCCTGTAAACATCGGTACTACCATCATCAGCATGTTCTGTATACATATCCTGTAAACATCGGTACTACCATCATCAACATGTTCTGTATACATATCCTGTAAACATCGGTACTACCATCATCAACATGTTCTGTATACATATCCTGTAAACATCGGTACTACCATCATCAACATGTTCTGTATACATATCCTGTAAACATCTAAACATCGGTACTACCATCATCAGCATGTTCTGTATACATATCCTGTAAACATCGGTACTACCATCATCAACATGTTCTGTATACATATCCTGTAAACATCGGTACTACCATCATCAACATGTTCTGTATACATATCCTGTAAACATCGGTACTACCATCATCAGGATGTTCTGTATACATATCCTGTAAACATCTAAACATCGGTACTACCATCATCAGCATGTTCTGTATACATATCCTGTAAACATCGGTACTACCATCATCAACATGTTCTGTATACATATCCTGTAAACATCTAAACATCGGTACTACCATCATCAGGATGTTCTGTATACATATCCTGTAAACATCGGTACTACCATCATCAGCATGTTCTGTAAACATCGGTACTACCATCATCAGCATGTTCTGTATACATATCCTGTAAACATCGGTACTACCATCATCAGCATGTTCTGTATACATATCCTGTAAACATCGGTACTACCATTATTTCTTTGGTCTCTTGTGAATCCTACGTAAGATTCTATCTGAAACTTAGATCGATTTCTGACTAATACATCGTCCAAGAGGATGATGATGATGATGATGATGATGATGATGATGATGATGATGATGATGATGATGATGATGATGATGATTTCCCACTCGAGAGTAAGAACACCTAATTTCACTTACCGTCAGAAAGTAATATTCAAAAGTGGCGTTGGCTTTGACTCCGGAAATCTTGAAGTCAGTACGGAAGGATGAAAACACATCACATAAGACTCCTCGGGCTTTTTTCTGTAAAATACCACAAATTATGTTTAGCATAATGTTTCAAAGCAGAGCAATATACAAGATCAGATTTTTGATGGAGTTAACGAGGTAAAACCAAGATTTGACGTGGGTGAGTTCTAGACCTGCATAACAGAAGGCCGTATGTTGAAATGTAACAAAGTAGTTACAAACACAATACATTAGATGAAGAACCAGCACGTGACTTTAATATTAAAAAATGAAAACTTACTGTTCCAACATACGCGTAGCTGTCATCCAAATAAAAGAGCTGCATCGGGTTTTTCAAGTGTACTATTTTGCTGCTGTTTGCTGAAAATGTTCCGTGAGCTTCATACGAATCAAAAGATGAGGTACTGATCGGTAGAATGGTACAGTTGCCGGAAATCTGGTCCCGGATATACCTCACACCTGATTTAAAATATATCATAATTAGGGTTCGATGACGGATACAGAGTGAACCTTAATGAGACCTCCAAAAGTTATTGACGATGTTTAATCAAATGTATCAGAAGCGATGCAAATCTGTCTTGGAAGACAAAGATAGTGGTACATTAACAAATGTCCTCCATTCGCTGCACTTACTTCAGACTGACATCTATTTACCTGTCAGTATCGCTGTGCCCGGATTCTTTAATAAAGAAAAAAACAACTGGATGTGATATATCCTTTTCCAGGCGCATATGACAAAAGATTGGTTCTGTTTCCACCAGAATAAAGACCTAAAAAGTGGACAGATCACAATGAACAAAGGAAAATATTTATTCATCATTTTGATTTGAAATGGTAGTGTTTTCCTCACCTGTGTTGAAGTCGTGTATTTCCGTCAGGGGATTCATAGTGTAAACTGGTGGTATCGGGCTCAAGTTTTTATAGTCATAACGAACCAACTTATAATCGTCGTCATACCACACCTGAGGATAAAAAGTCAAGACAGATTTAGAAACGTCGTCATACTATATATGGTCATTCCATATTTGGTCATAATATATTGCCATACTATATATAGCTATAAAACATGCTCACGCTATATTTAACTGTTATGCTCCCTACGTATTGACGTTTCGTCGAAATTATTGCGCAAAAACTTTTGTGGTCAATATCTGATGTTGATGTAATTTTTTTTTTTTTTTTTTTTGCGATATAATCGATTAATATCATAATCATCACCAAGGGAAACCTTTGACAGAGTTTGAGAAACAATGTACATTCTTACGTCAGTGGTAATGATACACGGTAACTTCTTACGTCAGTGGTAATGATACACGGTAACTCCCTACGTCACTGGTAAGGATACACGGTAATTCCTTACGTCAGTGGTAACGATATACGGTAACTTCTTACGTCAGTGGTAATGATACACGGTAACTCCTTACGTCAGTGGTAATGATACACGGTAATTCCTTACGTCAGTGGTATTGATACACGGTAACTCCCTACGTCACTGTTAAGGATACACGGTAATTCCTTACGTCAGTGGTAATGATATACGGTAACTTCTTACGTCATTGGTAATGATACACGCGAACTCCCTACGTCAGTGGTAATGACATACGGTAACTACTTACGTCACTGGTAATGATACACGGTAACTACTTACGTCAGAGGTAATGACAAACAAAAACTCCTTACGTCAGAGGTAATGATGAACAAAAACTCCTTACGTCAGAGGTAATGATGAACAAAAACTCCTTACGTCAGAGGTAATGATGAACAAAAACTCCTTACGTCAAAGGTAAGAATAAATACACTGCATCTCTTTACATCATTAATTCTGATAAACGTAACATCTTACGTCAGAGGTGACAATTGAATCCTCCTCAGAGGTGATAATCTCGGTACGGTAGTGATATTTAGTAGACAGTGTCGGTACAGGTTTGGTTTTCACTCTTCCAAAACAGATCACGCCGTTCGGAGTCTGTAATAAAAATGTTAGCGAGCAAGATTTGATGTCAATGCCGTTTCAATGAAGTTACACCAAACTGCGTTGAAAGAAATCACACTATTAAAGGTCTAAAAAAATTTTTTTAAATATTGGCTTTTTAACTCATTCTCTATTTTGAAAAAAAATAATATCAGGTATTTCATTAGATATACAGAAAAAGGAAGGTATATTCTTCAATATAATTTGGATTTCAGGACAAATATTCTTTTATAAGGTATGCCAATGATATATACCTCAAATACATTCGAATCAGTTGTGATCTGAGGCCAGAAGTCAACGTACTCGTACGTGTGAGTAAAGTTGACCGCCCTACCAGAACCAAGTATCTGTGTACCCGTGGCAACAGCTCTGACGGGAATCTGTGGAAATGCCACTGGGTCTACCCACGATGTTGCTGTTCACATCAAAATACGGTTTATTTTAACTTTATTCACTAGATTCTATAATGATATTTGAAAATAGCATATAGAAATAGCATTTCCGGTTATAAAAAAATTAATTAAAAATAATAAACACATTCGCTAAAGTTTAACTAGATAAATGAATTATAACTAGATGGTAATAGAACGAGTTTCACATTCTTTCTGTAAACATGTTTCCAACTATATCTTTATTGATATCATTGCTTCCGTATATTTCTTCAAAGTCTTGAATTTTGTACTGGTCAGTCGTCCGTTTAAGTATTTGACAGTTAAATGTTATTCTTCTAAAAAGGAATGCAAAGACAAATCTATGGTCAGTATTGAAATGAAGAGTGGCATAGAACGGTACAAGAGGTGTAATAAACGTATCTATTAAGAAAAGGAGAGCAGGCAAGGTACTAGAGATGTGATGATTGAGTCAGGAGAGACATGGAACAGGCAAGGTACTAGAGATGTGATGATTGAGTCAGGAGAGACTTGGAACAAGCAAGGTACTAGAGAAGTGATGGTTGAGACAGGAGAGACTTGGAACAGGCAAGGTTACTAGAGATGTGATGATTGAGTCAGGAGAGACATGGAACAAGTAAGGTACTAGAGGTGTGATGATTGAGTCAGGAGAGACATGGAACAAGTAAGGTACTAGAGATGTGATGATTGAGTCAGGAGAGACATGGAACAGGCAAGGTACTAGAGGTGTGATGATTGAGTCAGGAGAGACATGGAACAGGCAAGGTACTAGAGGTGTGATGATTGAGTCAGGAGAGACATGGAACAGGCAAGGTACTAGAGGTGTGATGACTGAGTCAGGAGAGACATGGACAGGCAAGGTACTAGAGATGTGATGATTGAGTCAGGAGAGACATGGAACAAGTAAGGTACTAGAGATGTGATGATTGAGTCAGGAGAGACATGGAACAGGCAAGGTACTAGAGGTGTGATGATTGAGGCAGGAGAGACATGGAACAGGTAAGGTATTAGAGGTGTGATGATTGAGGCAGGAGAGACATGGACAGGCAAGGTATTAGAGGTGTGATGATTGAGTCAGGAGAGACATGGACAGGCAAGGTACTAGAGGTGTGATGATTGAGGCAGGAGAGACTTGGAACAGGCTAGGTACTAGAGTTGTGATGATTGAGGCAGGAGAGACATGGAACAGGCAAGGTATTAGAGGTGTGATGATTGAGTCAGGAGAGACATGGAACAGGGAAGGTGCTAGAGGTGTGACGATGGAGTCAGGAGAGACATGGAACAGGCAAGGTACTAGAGATGTGATGATTGAGTCAGGAGAGACATGGACAGGCAAGGTACTAGAGATGTGATGATTGAGGCAGGAGAGACATGGAACAGGCAAGGTATTAGAGGTGTGATGATTGAGTCAGGAGAGACATGGACAGGCAAGGTACTAGAGGTGTGATGATTGAGTCAGGAGAGACATGGACAGGCAAGGTACTAGAGATGTGATGATTTAGTCAGGAGAGACTTGGAACAGGCAAGGTACTAGAGATGTGATGATTGATTCAGGAGAGACATGGACAGGCAAGGTACTAGAGGTATGATGATTGAGTCAGGAGAGACATGGAACAGGGAAGGTGCTAGAGGTGTGACGATTGAGTCAGGAGAGACATGGAACAGGCAAGGTGCTAGAGATGTGATGATTGAGGCAGGAGAGACATGGAACAAGTAAGGTACTAGAGATGTGATGATTGAGGCAGGAGAGACATGGAACAAGTAAGGTACTAGAGATGTGATGATTGAGGCAGGAGAGACATGGAACAAGTAAGGTACTAGAGATGTGATGATTGAGGCAGGAGAGACATGGAACAAGTAAGGTACTAGAGATGTGATGATTGAGGCAGGAGAGACATGAAACAAGTAAGGTACTAGAGATGAGAAAAATAAGATAATGTCGGATACTTGTAAAATAATAATCGAGAATAAATGTAGAGTTGAGTTTTGGCCACTGAAGACACGTCTGCCAGTGGTCAGTCGTAATACCCCTCACCACCGCCGTTCCCTTGTATACCTGCAAAAACAGACCTACCTCAGTAAGACAGTGACAACCTGTCAACTACTAAATATAATGTTGTGTATATAGACAAGAATTAATCTAGATCGTACTTTGATAGACCATCTCTCTCTCTCTCTCTCTCTCTCTCTCTCTCTCTCTCTCTCTCTCTCTCTCTCTCTCTCTCTCTCTCTCTCTCTCTCTCTCTCGATGCACACACACATTCAATATGTTTTTTAAGAATATACCCACTAAACCTCTTGAGATCAGATACTCATCTAACTTTTGGAGAGACACTAGTACTCACTTCTGTATACTCACCTGACCATTAGATTTGAGGAAATGCAAGGCAGCGCGAGTGGTTACTATGTGGGGAACTCCCTTCACCATATCATCACCAAACAGCATCGTGTTAGGATCCGCAGACAGATTGCCGATCTGGCACCGATTATCTAAAACATAGGGAGCCAGCCGTCTGAATATCGTTAGGTGAAACATTGGTAACACAGTGGTAAAACACAGGTGTCTGAACGTCGTGAGGTAAAACATTGGTAACAGAGAGGTAAAACACAGGTGTCTGAATGTCGTAATGTAAAACATTGGTAACACAGAGGTAAAACACAGGTGTCTGAATAGCGTGAGGTGAAACATTGGTAACACAGAGGTAAAACACAGGTGTCTGAATGTCGTAATGTAAAACATTGGTTAGGATAATGCATAATCTGGTACTGCCAATTTGTTTTTTTTTAAATTAATTCTGTTTTAATTTCAATTCTTCAATCGCAATAAATGAAAGAAGTCTTCGATATAACGATCTTGCTTCCATCATGTTCGAAAGTCTTTGATTTCAAATCGACTTCTAAAAGTTGCAATATTCGTCTTGAAATACCAGACTAACTGAATAAAAATCGAATTGAGTTTTTTATTTTATTTTATTTCTTAGTTCGGTTAAACGTGATTATAATATATTTCACTTTTTAACGGAAATCTATCTTGTGACTACTTAAGCATTTGATAATATGGCGTTTACTTACCTTTAACATAGAACAGCTGATTGTTGGCATAGTCAAATAAAAGGGTGGTGATGTCACCGTCTCGGATAAGTTTCACAGTGGCTTTATTCTCTAAATCACTGAAATATTCCCTCGCTGTCATTGAAAACCCCTTGTCTTGAATATTTGCCTCTACGCGAGTTTCAAAATCGCCGGGTAATGTAGGTAGTTGAGGATCTATGAAAAAGCGGAACAGTTATGAAAGGGTATTCCCAAAATTGACATTATAATTCTCAGAACACCTGAATGAAAGACCTGATCTTCCTGAACATTGTTTCTATTCTAAATGTTTAGAATGGAGAAATCAATCAAAGGAATACTGTCATTCAAGAAACACTAACTGATACCAAAACCAACTAAACGGCAATAAAAAGTAGCGTCTTGATCAGAGAGGGAGACTCAATATTTATAGATATCATCTACAGTTATAACTTTTTTTCTTGTAACGTCACAGTACAAATCTCTCAGAATTTCTCGTGGAAATTTAGATGCTGTTTCTCATATTTATATTAAATTATTCCATTCTGAATATCACTCAATGAAATCTGAAATCAACTGGGTTCAATAAACAAAGAAATCATAACTTATATCAAAATTAATCTCTACCTAAAACCAGAAATAGAACCTGACTGAATTAGCAATATCCGTAATTAAAGCAAATCCTATTATACTGCTGATTTGAATCAATTGGGCAAAATCAAGATTCCTTGACGAACGAGAGATAGCTTACCAGTTGGGCGCGGAGTGACATCAGGGGTTGGAAAACACTGTGTTTTGACATGGCGAACGACACTGCAGATAAATATCAAGACCAGGACCTGAAAAACAGAAATACTAGCTTTACATTAAAAACTACATTCAAATATGAATTTAACCTTCCACAAAATGCCGAAACAAGCAACAGAACATGGAAATAAAACCAATTTGTAGATGAAGGAAGTAATAAGGAATAATTAGTAATAAGATGCTCTTGTATATTGTGTATTGTGTAATATGTAAAAACTTGTCAAAAATAAAAGAATTACAAATATATATATATATATACCGTCTATATACAAGTATACAATACAAACCATGTATCAAAAAATACATATCTTATGCCATGTTTTCATTCATTCGAATAGAAGCATGATTCAGAATACATACACGTCCAAATCAAAGAAGAAATATACGGAGGACGGGATCATAAAAATCATCGAGCTTCTGGTCGACAACATCTTCGGTGGGTTTCTTCAAATAGACGATTGGCATACCTGTTGGAACCAACTTCGCCCCTCTGTTGGCTGGCTTGTTTTTTTGTTTTCTATTTACACGGTTGATTCGATATTTAAGGGCTTGTTCCCATTCTCACGATTTTCGTGCAAGAAGTCGTCAACTCACGTTCAAACTCGTAACACGGTTTCAAAGGGTGCAGGTCAATGAAAATTATGGTGAAATGTTATGGTAGCCGTAGTGTTCTCATTCAGAAATATTCGATTTCTTTGTGTAACATGAAGCTTAACATCAAACAATAGTGACATCACAAATATATTTATATATCAACAGTTTTAATTACGGTTCTATTCGAATATCAAAACATGACTCCCTTCGGACAGCTACAGATACCGGGAAATGTCAGCAGATAAAAGACCCCGTGTTTACATACATTGTTGAAATGTTTACAATATAGAGATAAAATAGAAGTATTGCCTTTGTGTTTCAGCTTTACACATTTAAAACTAGATATGATGTGTTGATGAGTTTTGAGCATTTTCAGCATGTCATATTTAAGACAACTAGATATAACATGATAATAGTGTATGTTAATTTGTGATAAAACCATATGACTTGTTATATAATTACAGTGTTGTTATCAGAAAGTAATATTATATATACCGTATACTAGTACACTATTACATACAGAAGACTATTTCGATTTTTAATATTTTAAAGACAAAATATTTCACATATTTGATGAAATATCGAGTTTTGATTCAAGTAATAATGACGAGGTACAAGTGTAATGTATCAACTACGTAGGATGAATATGGTTCATACGAGTTCAACCACGTAGTTCACTGATGAACTACCCATATCTAGTGTGCCATATGAATGAAAAAAAGTGTCGATAGTCAGTGTATATATTGTCTCATAAATTATGTATAATATATAATAATATCAAGTTATTTTATCGTATTATTTTATAATAAAAACATTTTCTGAAACTACAAACCCTCATGATTCCGCTGATAGACTGGCCACTGGACACCATGAACAGATCGCCGCGGACTTGTACCCCTATGTGTTGGGACTTCACTGATAAAGATATCGGATATAGGACATATACAGGTATATTCACACTATCTATATTATCAGTGGTACAGGCTAGTACAGTGTATATAAATAATACACAATTAATAGACATACACGTAACCTATGATTTACATAAACATGTTATCTAGAAATATACATATTGTTGTACATAACTAGAATTACCATACTGGCTTTCCCTTAACTAACCTCTGTTTCCTTATTAACCTGTCTATAAACGGGGTTTTTTTTATTTTGCACTATTGTGAATTGCGAAACGAGCTACTGTTTTACATTAACTACTCGTTTTTGCTGTGGATTGTCCGAAAGACAAACAAGTTTTACTTCAAGTTTATAATAAGTTACACAGTACAGATGTACAGTCAATAATAGATACAGCTGCTTTATCCTTCGTCAAGGACATCGTCAATGACACTAACAGGCGACTGGGAAAGTTATAGATTATTGAAAGAATTGTCACAACCTTGATCAAGAGGAACTGAGGTTTTGGTTGAAACTGCGTCCATATGGCCAACGGTATCGGAACCGGTAGGTTAGCCCGGATGAGGAAAATCCATCGGAGGCGGGTAGTGCGATACCCACTGAGGACATTTAGGCATCGCAAGAAAATCATGAACCGTCCAATTCCGTCCAAATTGTGTCCTTGGGCATTGTACAGGTATTCCAAATGTATGGCAGCTGATGAAGACACAAGAAGTAGCTGCTTTGTAAAGTACATCTTCTTCCTCTTTATAGATGACCAACATCATGCAAATTTAGATCAATGCTTGTAATGGTACGTTCTGAAAATTTGAACAGGGTTAGCACAAATCCACCGACCAAATTAATAGGCACTGACCAGCTATGCATAGAAAAATGTATATTTTCCAAACGTGATCATAGGAAAGTTTTGTCATTATCAAAAAGAATGTAAAGAATGTAAATAATATCATTTTAAAACACCGAAATACCGATATGTCAATATATATTAAGAACGACAATGTGATTCACAGGTGTTCCGAGAGGGTATGCGTTTTCTTCTTCATCGACGACACCCGTCATGTTAATTTTGGTCAATCCTTGTAAGTAATCCCGCTTTCCAAAGGTAAACAACAAAGTAAATACCAAGCAACGTAATAAGCTTCAAACACTTCGTACACGGGAATAGAATATTTCCCAATGACATCTTTCTGTTGACGATCATCATCATCAATCTACATCGATCTTTGCAAAATACGTTCCAGTTTAGTTCATTACTACATACCTTATCGCCAGTTTGAATTCGTTGATAAGAAAACTCTTCACTAGAAAATGAAGGCATTGGTAATCTTTTTTTTTCAGAGAAGATAGGAACGAATAAAAAGCGATCTTGAGTTCTGCAAAATTTATTTTCAGAATGAAACCCTTATTAGATAATCCTTAGCATGGCAATATATAAAGACTTATTGATGAACCACTAGAAGGCAATCTGGGATATTACAGATCGTGGTCAAAGTAAAGTAGTTCAATTATAGCCGAGAGTGCATAAGGTCAAGGCTCTAAAAACACACAAGTGAATGGCACCTTTTAATAGTTTAGAGTTCACTACAGTAGAGCCAAAGAATGAAGCAAACTGCATCATACAGCTGTTCCGTCCATCTAATTTGAAGTTTAGGAAGCAATGGAGGAAAACCCAAAGTAATCGAAAGGAAAGCCAAAATCTAGACGGGGAGGTGCAGCAGTTCTAAAATTAAATAAATTTCGTAATTTTTATATGTCAGGTAAATTTTTAAGTTATATTCTGAACCGTGCTACTATTCGAATGAATTAAAACGTGGCATGCAGGTTAAGGCAAACCTCAGCAGTGTCTTCCACCTGATATCTTAGAGATTGTACAAAAACACACAAATGGATGGCACTTTTTATAATTTAGAGATCGATACAGAAAAGCTTAACAATGAGAGAACTTTTCTTAAGCTCGATCGGTTCAGCGTTAGACTAGTAAGCAAGATGTCCGGGTTTTCGATTCCTAGTGGAGGCACTGAAGTAAAGTTTGAACTCTGTAATTATAGTAGTTGTTTTGTTGATCGAGGGCCTATTCCCAATATCACAATTTTTTCATGCAAGATGCAGAATACACATACTCTTTCATTTCCCTGTGTACTTTTTCAGGAGTCTCTAGAGACTCAAAAATAAGGAAGCACGTAACTCTGGTAAATACTAGCCGCAACATACCACACAGCAAAAGTAATCTCTTCAGCTCGAGGTTCCGTGTTCGAATCCAAGTGAAGGCATTGAAAGAATGACCTCTGTTACATATACAACTAGGGTTTGGAGGTTTATCAAACTAGCGTGGTCTTTTTGCAAGCTGAGAAACAAACCAAGATAGTGTTAATATACTCCGTATCTAGAGACACCAAACTCTGAAATTTCCATGCAATTGCTGAATTGTTCGTTTAGTATTTTTTCATTTGCTGTTAATTTTTGGGATTGTGGACCGAATGAATTTAATTCTATCTGAAAGAGAATCCATTACATTTGCTCATTCCAATCAATCGTATCTTTAATCATACCAAACTTGCAAAGCATCTTACGAAAATGAAACTCTTCTACATTTTCATATTCATACAAGAACGAAAACTCGTTACAAGTACCAACGTAATTTCCGTTTCGAAAAGGATAGTTTATTCATTGCCCTATGAAAAACCCTTATCAAAGAAAAGACACAGATCTCTGTGGTCCTAGACAATGAAGAACCATTCTCAGTGTCGGCCATCATACAACTTACTTATGACTGTAAGTAACACAACGACAAAGTAAAACAACAATACATAAGTAAGAATATATATTTTATCTCAATTATTTCACCTTTGTACAACATAATATATACATAATTTTTTCATGTTATGCTTCAACAAGATATGGACTTTCTCTTTATCAGTTGACACCTAGCTTAACCTAATTAAATGACATCTTCCAGTCGGTAATAGTTCTAAAATTCATAAAATAGATACAAACATATAACACTTCAGAGCAAAGCTACCGAGATGCTTTTGTTCCCGTAGGAGTTCGTCGCCATTTTATTAAGTTGGAATCTTCAATAGTGGCAGGGTTTCAGAAAATGTCTACTTACTTACAGTTCAATCATTTTATTGAAATATATTTGAAACCTCAAATCAACATCAACAGCAGAGAACATTGGTCGTCGAAAGTTCCCTGTACCCATATAAAATGCTAATTAAAAGAGCTTTCCGCATGCGTGTATTTGTTTCACGCCTTTGATTTATAATGAATAATTTATTATCAAAACACAAAATTAGGAAATACAGACAGATATCCAACAAATTGTGATAAAAAGTACCATGTCTTTTCCATAACGTATATAATCATCTCAGGGTATATTCATTTCCTTTTAGAAAGTCATGTTTTGAAAATAGATTACCAGTTAAACTTCACTAAATTGATAACGTTATGCTATACAGTATCAGACTGTTATAGAATCGAGTGGTGTATATACATATATAACAATGCTTCATCGAAACAACACTGACAGTTTCATCAAATGAACAAATGAAATAAATATCGAAATCAGAATTGGAAAGATCAATATGGTCATAATATATATATTAAAGTATAACAGAAAAAAAACAATGTGTGGTGAAATATGTCAAAATAAACTTGAATTTTCATGATGGTTAACTATATAAATTGCCTAGATAAATTGTTACTAGGTAGTAGTCTATTTACAGAAAAAGAATGAATTAAAAAAACCACCTGAGTACCAATGTAACTAGGCAATTTATATATAAAGTAGAGTACCACAAACAATAGGAAATGAAAGTGATAAAGCTGAAATCTGCGTCTCAATATGTATATATATATATATATTGTTTCTATTTTAAATTGTAAAACATTCATTCATTTACTCAAGATAATGAAATTTAATTATCATAGGTTATATCAATTAAAATTCAAAGTTCAAAAACTAATTAGCGTTAGCCTTTAAGCAAGACAAAAACCTGTGAATTATCAACAATGTTACTCCAGTTAAAATACCGAATAGCTATTGTTTATATCCAAAACCTTTCTAGGTCTTATACAAAATTAAATATGCTTATTTCTTTTAACAATTTTTTACTTAATAAGTCCTTTACAGTGTAGTTTTGGCAACTATTCTTCTGAAACATCTAAATCAAGTGCGATGAAATGTTATTGGCCTACTTTAATATATGGTAACATGCAATGAAGAATGACCACTCTTTACAAACATCGTAATGAAGAGTGACCATTCCTTACAAACATCGTAACATGCAATGAAGAATGACCACTCTTTACAAACATCGTAATGAAGAGTGACCATTCCTTACAAACATCGTAACATGCAATGAAGAATGACCACTCTTTACAAACATCGTAATGAAGAGTGACCATTCCTTACAAACATCGTAACATGCAATGAAGAATGACCACTCTTTACAAACATCGTAATGAAGAGTGACCATTCCTTACAAACATCGTAACATGCAATGAAGTGACCACTCTTTACAAAGGATGTGACGACTTTCTGGACGGACAGGTGTATGTGTAATTCAGAGACTTCCAATGTCCAATAGTAACAGCACCATGGTTTACTTTGTAGGAATGTTCAAATTAATGTCCACGTTCACACTGTTTTGAATTTCTTTCAATTTTACGTTGTTTGATTGTTCACATTGTTTTTTATTTCCTTCATATTTTGTTCTAACTTAAGAATAAGGAGATTCTATACATATGTATAAATTGATCCAAACATTTGCTTCTATGTCATTCTTGCTTAAACCAGGAAAAATCTTACACAGCGAAGTATTATCAATTGACAGCGGCCAAAGTGCCTGAGCAATACCATAGACACACCATCAGCTAACTGGGTATTACTGTAAATACACCATCAGCTAACTTGGTACTGTAGATACACCATCAGCTAACTGGGTATTACTGTAGATACACCATCAGCTAACTGGGTATGACTGTAGATACACCATCAACTAGGTATTACTGTAGATACACCATCAGCTAACTGGGTATGACTGTAGACACACCATCAGCTAACTGGGTATTACTGTTGATACACCATCAGCTAACTGGGTATTACTGTAGATACACCATCAGTTAACTGGGTATTACTGTAGATACACCATCAGCTAACTGGGTATGACTGTAGATACACCATCAGCTAACTGGGTATTACTGTAGATACACCATCAGCTAACTGGGTATTACTGTAGATACACCATCAGCTAACTGGGTATTACTGTAGATACGCCATCAGCTAACGTATGTTGATTACATGTTAACGACGTATGTTTTATGTTTTTCGTTCTCCATCCATTGAGGATCGTCCACATTTAGAGAATTGTCCAAGTCAGGTGCGGTCGAAAAGTGTTCCTTGTCGTAACCCTCGACACGCTCCGGATTCTGGTTTAGTGTCTTTGACTTCTTATGACTAAAATAGAAATTATAAGAAAAATGTGCATAATTATTCCAGTTAATTTCAATATACATGAAAGTAAATGCGTCCACGGTGTTGAGACTATTCCGAAAACAAAATGTAACGAATAAGACTTCAGACAGAAGTTTTCTTCATATATACGTAGTAACCACGGAATCGTTTACATAAGAAATGATGTGTTAGGTGTAGAATGAAAATATCTACAAACTATTAATGTTATACAGTATACACGTTATCTAAACCACACTTCGTCCTTAAACTACGTTAAGTAT